CGACAACGTCACACGCAGCGAGCGTGCTCAGTGTTTATGGAAGTAAACATGGATGGTAACGGTGGAGCGTATCTGCCACTCCCCCGCCGCCACCAATGGTGGAAACAGAAGTGTGAGCGTTAACTAAACTAGCATCAGCAGCCAAGTACTGCCTGTGTGTTCTGGACACTTCCACCCCGTCAGAGCGCTGCCCTGGGGTGGAAGTGTCCGGAACATGCACAAGCGCACCGGTCAGTTAGGCTGAAATCCACTCAATCCAATCAATACACTAGTTATTATAACAACTCTGAACAATAATTAACAACTAATGAGCCTTCTAGCATCAAGCCCTCCTTGTATCTCGACCTCCGTTGTGACAATCCGACAGCCTTGCTATCCGACATAGAAGAACGTTTTACATTTAGTTTCGGATTATCGAGTTACGGCTGTACTTTATATACACACCTAACATAAGCTTGATTGCAAAATGTGTGCATAAACATGATTTCGATTTAGCCATAGCTGTAAGGTTTCTGTTATAAGAAGGCTGCAGCATTAGTAGCATTCAACATAGCCACTCATCGCCAGTTTAGGCTCTAAATCTAACCAACCACTACGACACACAGGGAAATGAGGTTAACTGTCCAAAAGAAGAATAAAGATGCTAATGGACCTGTGAGTTTGCTCTACTGCCTACCCCAGCTTTAACATTCAATTCATTTGACTATTTATCTTCTTTCAGATATCTTTTAAAAAAAATACTGTTTCAAAGCTTGTCAAAATTTCAGCCCCATCACATTTAAAGAATTTAGATCCAAAGGAGCCACATCTATGTTAAGAACAGTATCGATAAACATAATTAACTGTAAATATCTGTCAGCAATGTTTAACCATTAGACTGTCCTGTGCTTAAAGAGCCTGTATTATGCCTTTTTGACTTTCCCCCTTTAGCCTACAGTGTGGCATCCAGCTGCTTTTTAGTGCATGTAAAAGGTCTCACAAAGGCCAAAGTCCTCACCAAAGGAAGTCTGTCGCTCCTACAGAAAAGGCTTCCTGAAATGCTTTGTTTAAAGTCCAGGCTGTTCTTCTGTTACTCACCCACGTCACTGTGCAGCACATTTACATGACACTCGGTTTGCAGCTAGTTTGGATCGCCCTCAAACAAAACAACCATTATTCCCTCAATAGAAATGTTTCATTGCGACACGTAACCAACGCTAGCTCCCTTTGGTCGGGCTCGTCGATCAGTTAGAACCAAACAGACTTTTCAGACGGGGCTGAAACAGAATGAAAAGAGGTCCTGCAGCAGCACGAGAAAATAATGTGTTTTCGTCTTATTAAAGCGCGTAGACCCCCAAAATATAATTATAAACTCCTAAATGTGCTTAATATTGGCTTTTTAATGCAATAAAAATGGCATCTTATTTAAATCACCCAGGCTGATTGGAGCGCTTACAACCCTCAGCAATAATTTATATTTGTCCCAGTGAATAATATGTTTAGCGCTGAGGAGATTTTGTAAACCCTCCACAATTTCCACAAAGCAGCCTCAAGTCAAGTGTCCTTTTAAAGTACTTCGGTAAGAAACGATTGCAGCTGGACTCCACGCCACGACTGTAAAGCTGCTATTGACTTTGCTTAACTGTTTGTATTTGTATCCGGCCCCGGGAATAAAAGCCGGCAGGCGCGTTTTGCCGTCACGTGATATAAATTACGGTTGTCACTAACAACAATGCTAATGATATTTGCCGTGTAAATCAAAGTCCGGCGACAGTTCAAACACAGATGCTAGATTTTTCTGCGTTTGTTGCATGAGGCATGACTAATAGCGCAATAGGTTTTATGGGTCACGGCTAATGATGCGTTTGGTGGTTTACGGGCTGTGATTGATGAAGCAATGAATGTTCTGTGGACCATGTTTAATGATGCCACGGTAACTGATGAAGCACTGGATGTAAGACGGCTTCTAATGTATTTTTAAAGGGAGGTAGTTTTGTTGTACTGTGTGTGTGTCTGTGTGTGTGTGTGTGTGTGTGTGTGTGTGTGAGGCCGTGTTTAATGGTGTGTCATTTCATGTAGGGTGTGCATTTGTAAAGTTCCAGAGCAACGCAGAGGCCCAGGCGGCCATCAACGCTCTGCACGGGAGTCGTACTTTACCTGTAAGTCCACACACACACACACACACACACACACACACACACACACACACACACACACGGTTCCAGATAGATCAAACAGACACACTCAGATGCTCCAAATCCAGTCATTTAGACACTCAACATGGTGACTCAGCTAATAGTCACCACTTCTCATTTCTGTCCCCCCTCCTCCGCACTCACACACAATAGAGGGCAACAGTTTTTTTTTTTTTTTTAACAAAATGAGGTCATCTTCATTTTTCCGTCGTGGATCTGCGGTTTGATGCAGGTCGACCGGATTAAAAGAACATCGGAGAAGTATATTTTTAACTCGGTTTTTGCCAGATTTTATACAGTGGGAGGGAAAGAAAGAAGCATATTAGGAGTTATTGGAAGTTTTTTTTTTTTTTTTTTGCAGCGTGATCTGATGTAGATGCATTAAACGCACCCATTAAACATTCATGGCCTGGGGGAAAAAGTAAGCGAATCGCTGGATTTAATAAGCACTCGACGTCAAACAAGTGTTTCTGCAGATCAGACCCGCACAAAGGAGGAGTTCACGGGACTGATTCAGCTCAGATATATCAACTCTTCGGAGGTCATTTGACAGTGCGTCTGTCGGGTTAAAGTCTGGTTAAAGACTCCAAAAGGCGGATTTTCCTTGTTTGAAGTCAGTCTGTTGTAGATTTACTTTGATGTTTGGCAACTTTCGCTGACTTTCAGCTGACAGACACCCACCCTGACGTTATCCGGATATCTCGGTGAACTCTTGAGCTCAGTTTCACCTCACAGTTGCAGCAAAGCAACCCAAAAAATTGCATGTTTTCCTGTTAGTATGCAAAAGCCCATTGTACGCTAAGAGCAGGGCTGCATGCTTTCCCCAAATAACTCATAGATTTATGTATCCATCCATCCATCCATCCATCCATCCATCCATTATCTATACACCTTAATCCTCACTGGGGTCGTGAGGGGCTGGAATCCATCCCAACTTACTTAGGGGTTCACCTGGACAGATAACCAGTCTATCACAGGGCTACACTTAGAGACAGACAACCAAGCACACTCACATTCACACCTACAGACAATTTAGAATCACCAATTAACCTCAGCATGTTTCTGGACTGTGGGAGGAAGCCAGAGAACCCAGAGAGAACCCACGCTGCACGGGGAGAACATGGAGACTCCACGCAGAAAGATCCCGGGCGCCCTTAGATTTATGCATTTTTCGCGAAGCATCGTGGAGCGTCAGGGGTCTTTTAAGCAAACTTTAACTGCAGCAGCTTCCTCCATGCAGCCCAGCAGTGTGATTTCAGACTGTCAGATTCATGAACAAAGATGTTAAACTGCTCCAATCATTCATTTAAGCCTTTAGCTCTTTCTCAGAGCTTCCTTTTTTTTAATTTATTTATTTTTTTTTACCTCATTTAGCATTCTGGCTCGTGCCTTTGGAGTCATCTCAGCTCCCACTTCTATGAAGAGTAGCCACAGAACTAAATCATCAGTTTGTCTAACTGTGGACTGATGAATATGTAAAAAAAAAAAAAAATTTTTAGAGATTACTCTGCAACCCTTTCCAGCTTTATGCAAATCAGTAAATCCTTGATTGTAAGTCTTCTGAGATCTCTTTTGCATGAGGCATAGTTCACATCCGCAAACTCAAAATGTTTTCTTATAAGTCAGCAGAGCTCTAATCTCCTCTCATGCTTCATTGATTGGACTCCAGGTTCGCTAACTCCTGACTCCAAGCAGCTTTTGTCGATGTCATTAGCCTCGATGTTCGCGCACTTCCTCCAGGATTCAGTGCTAATGTTTGAATGATGCAGACGGTTTGTGTTCGCTATTACGATACTGCATTATAATCAGTTTTTGGTTTCGTTTTCATTTCTGGTATGTGCTAGGATACAGTTTAGAAATGACAGGAGATGAGGGGAGAGTCGGAGTCGCAGGTGGAAGAAGCATTCAGATCAGCAAAAGTACCAATAGAGCGATGCAAAAATACTCTATTACACATAGATCTTGCATGAAATAATCCTACTTAAGTAAACGTACATCGTTGTTAGCAGCAAGTTGTAGTTAAAGTGTTAAACATACTGGTTTGATCCGTCTGACTGGTACAATATATAATTATATTATTAAGACTGAACCATCAGTGTGTCAGCAGCAAGTTTGAACAAACTGATGTCTAGTTTTATACACAGAGAAAGAGGAAGCAGAGCTCTGACTCACAAAGTATTTTTAGTTTTTGGATCATTTGAATATGTACTGAAATGAAACCATGTGAGAAAAACATCACGATTATATGTTAGAGAAAAGATGTCAGAAGCCACAAAGGTTGGAAACAACTGGTTTAATCCTCAATCTAACTAAAGCGGTCAAACACATGTAGCGGAGTGAAAAGTGCAATAAAATGTTCGCTTGAGTAACTTAATTTCACTACTTTCGGGGACGTTGTGGTCACCTGGTCCATGTCTTTGCGTCTTAGTCCAGGATGCTGCTACACTGACTTGACTCGGCTGTGATTTCCTCCGCAGGGCGCCTCGTCCAGCCTGGTGGTGAAGTTTGCCGACTCCGAGAAGGAGCGAGGACTCAGGCGGATGCAGCAGGTGGCCTCTCAGCTGGGAGTCATCAGTCCCATGACCCTGCACCTCGGGGCCTACAACGCCTACACGCAGGCCGTAAGAAACGCTCACACTGTCGGGGGAGGTTTTTGCTTTTAGAAACACACTCTACCTGTCGTAAGGACATTAACTCTTGCTGCTGCTGCTGAGAGGATTATATCGCTCGCTCCCCTCTGTCCTGTGCACTTTGCGTCGCCGTCTCTTCTTCCCTCTCCGCCTGACGTCGATGCTAACTCAAGCCTTGTTTGTGTACCGCGGGGGAAAACAGACAGAGATTATATTTGAACCCGACACGATTTGTGAACATGCATGTGACCCTACTGAGTGACTGGCGGGAGACATCTTGTGTAACTTTATCCCTCTGAGTGCAACGCTGATTGTCTGTAAAGAGCATTTACATGGTAACCGGCACTTTGTCCGGCAAATAGTCTGCGGTTCAAGAAAAGATAGAAAGCCATGAATTAAGTGATGTCTTCTGGAGTGGAGATAAAAACGATAATAATAATCTTTAAGTGCTTCCCAAGGCAGAAAAATAAAAACACATCATCTGAATTAAAGGGAAAAAGCAGTGTTGAATATAATAAAAAATATTATTCTAAGAAATAAAAGATAGATCCTCAAAGAAAAGCAAAGACTGCAAGATATTTTACATAACCCATAAAAAAAAGACACAAAATTAATTTTCTGGAAAGCAAACCTTACTCAGTGAGATATTTAATGTCACAACTAGATGATTTTAATTGGAAAAATGGCAAGTTACAACATAAAGTAACCCAAGATCGCTGTTCTCCTCGTTGCTAATTGACCGTTCACTGCAAATGGTTTCAGATTTGCCTCATTTAAAGCTGTTCAATTTGTGATGCTTAAAGAGGCCTGACAGCATTTTTTACTCGTGATGGATGTGTTGATTTATAGTAATGGTATATAATTTAGTAAAGGGAAGAAAAAAAAATAACAGCACACACAGAACTCAGAATGAAATTGCTCGCTGAAAGAGGGGAGATGCAAGAGGTGCAGGTAGACACGAAGCCACACGAAACCAGAGGCAGGATTTAATAAAATAATTAATTTTCACACTTTGAGCCCAGACACAGAGCACACAGCACGACGTCAAGACCAATTATTCCCCTGATTTGACCGTAATGACTGATTATGAACATCTGCACTGGTTTGCAAAAACAGAGCGGGTCACCGAGGACGGCTGCACTGTGCTTAGATGTGCACTTTAAATATATTGACTCCTGATTGAAGCTGAGTCTGGAGCCGTCGCAATTATATTAAACGCGTTCAATTTTTATGATTGGGTCCCGTTATTTGAGCTCGTTAATAATGGAAATCTGAGCAAAGTGCGTCAGCTGTAATCTGCACAAATCGCTCCCCGAATGTCGGATGTTGAGCTTTTTTTTTTCTTTTCTTAATTTGTTTGTGTCTTTCTTTACAAAGCACGTAAAAACAGACTCTAAACATCTCCGTCTCTCTCTTTCTCTCCAGCTGATGCAGCAGCAGGCCTTGGTGGCGCAGTCGGCCTACCTCTCTCCTGTTGCCACGGTGGCGGCGGTTCAGATGCAGCAGCTCGCTGCCCTCAACCCCAGCAGCATCATTGCCACGCCGATTGCATCCATCACCCCGTCCTCAGGTAATGAGAGGCAGAGATGTCTGGCCCCGGCTCGGCCTTGATTAGATTTCTGCTTGAAATATGAGGACAGATACACAAGGAGAGGTGGACCCAAGAGGACAAAATTACAAACATCTATTTTGTAGTTGTTGTTTTTTTTTCTTTTTCATTCTATCATGCCGTTAGCCATGTTAGCTTTTACTTTCAAGGTATAAAAAGCAGCGAGAGGAAATTGAGTCAGAGCGGCCTGAACCCACTTACCTCGATAGCTTCTTTTGTAGATGTGGTTATAGGTAGGTTTATTTGACATTTTAAACCAAGCTGCTGCTTAATGTTTAGTTTTCTTTACCTGAAAACCTTCTATAGACAAACACTGTGATGGAAAATGTGCCCACACTGATTTTTCTGCTCTTTGTTCTCCTTCTAGTTCAGTGTTGGGTTATTTCACCTCAAATCATCGAAGCCCTTTTGCTCAACTATGTCTTGATTTGTTTGAAACTTTTCCATCATAATCTAAGGATATTTAAATGGTTTCTGTGAAATTTTAGATTCATATATCCAGTACTTTTGGAGATTTTTTTTTCAAACTGCTAGCCGGCCCACTTTTTGAAACTGGAGGTTATGTTTAAACAACAACATCTCAGGAACTATTGAAGATAAAAACCTGAGATTTTCACTGTTTTTATTGATTATGCCATTGGTTCAATATCTACAATATTAGCTAGGAAGGAAGAAAGTTGAATGAATAGTGTTTGGTTAAAGGTGAGTTAAAATATGAAAAAAAAAAAGTGAGGCTGTTATGACAAGTCAAATCTTTGAGCTCATATTAACCAAAAATTGAAAACTGACTGAGCAGGTATGACGAATTCTGCCACATAAATAAAAATATTGCTAGATAGCTGGATCCAAGCAGAACACAGATCTGAAGTTTCAAAGCAGGTGTCCAATAAACATAAAAAAATTTTTTTAATATGAGCATATTCTTCATTTTAGACCCCTTTAACTGTAATTCCAGTTTCCTCAGATGTTCCGATTCCTAAAATAAAGATATGTAACGTCAACGTTTCCCCCACATCACAGACTAAAAAGACACAAATGCAGAAATCTTTCTTGCACCCCAATCTGTCAAGAGCTGGCAGGGGATTGTGCTCACTTGAGAGCCTATCACTGATAGCAGACAAGCCTCCGGGGCCTTTGAATAAGATGTCTTCCCTTAATACTTTCTGCAGGTACCAGCACTCCACCCTCCATCGCAGCCACACCTGTTCCTGCTCTGCCTCCACCCATCGCGGTGAACAGCTACCCCTCCGTGGCGGCTCCACCTAATGGCCAGTCGGCTACAGAAGCGCTGTACACTAACGGGGTCCATGCCTATCAAGGTATAGCCATCACATCCTAAACACATTACGGCGCTGTCATATAATATCCTTTCACAGATTCAGGGGCTTCCTGCTTCCATGTGCAACAGTGAGGGCCTAATTAAGAGGAAATGAAATGAAACTAAATGTTATTTGGAGCATGCTGATGTGCCCCAAATAACATTTAGGAGTCTTTTTTCATGCATAAAGTCATTTGGTGACCATGTGTTTGCTGTGCCACAGCTCAGAGTCCCGTCCTGGACCCGCTGCAGCAAGCTTACACAGGCATGCAGCACTATACAGGTGAGCCTCTCAGCAGCTACTGTCAGACCATAACCACCGTTTGAGTATAGAAAGGTGTTGCCATCACAGAGTGTGTATAAGAGACGGATGCAGCCGCTGTTGTGTTTGTAAACTATAGTCCAGAATTTGACTTTTGCCATCTTTGTTTTTGGAAACCAGACGTGATGAATGAGGGGTGAATCTTCACACGGTAGTGACTAAAGCACAACCCGTCTAATTCCCTCTAAATTGGAACATAATTTACAAAATGAACATCATTCTATATTAAAGAAGACCTGGAACTAGAGATTTAAACCATAAACTCATTAGGAAAATGTTTGCCAAGGTGTCAAATCGTGTAAGAAGCAGAGTTATTTTCTCTTCTTTGCACAACTAGAGTCGCCCCCTGCTGGTCGTTAGACAGAATGCAGAGTTTCAGGTCAATTTACCCAAATATCTACACACCATAGGTAAGTTTGGAATACCAAAATAATACACTGAATGACTATTTTTAATACCATACAGAAGATAATCCAACAGAAACAAGAAGTAATTAGAAAATAATTTGTGATTCTTATTCTGTATGTTGTTGGTAATATTGGGGATGTTGTGGTTTTCCATACCTCCCTATGGTGTGTGGACTACGTCACTGATGGCAGAATCAGAGCCACTCCCTATTTAATATGGCTTCTCTCTTTGTACCAAACTATTTGCCTGATGAAGGCCTAGCACCAGAACATAATGTATATTAGCGAGTTAGGTAATTAGTGGGAATCTGATTGAAACTTTTTAATGTCGGTTATCAAGTTGCTGCCTGGAGCAGCAGATGTTGTTGCAGAGCGATGCTAAACATTTATATTAAAACTGACCAGTTCTCGCTAAAGAACTAGTCTAGCTCACCAGATATAAGCCTGCCATTGACCGCACATTTCACACGGCTTTCACCTTCCCTTCTGCTACGACTACCTTTCATTACAAGAAACAGCAACCTCTAGACAACAACCTACACACTGAAATGTTTTTGCCAAAGGTTTAGATCACACAACAAAGCAGCTCTACTGGTGTTTTTTAATGATTTAGCTATTCTAATGGCAGTGCTCGCCTCCCTGCAACGCATATTCCACCTTAGCAGTTCCCCCGTCACTATTTTGGGCCATCACTGTTGATGCATCACGCTCCTAGCCCTGCCCAAGACGAATGTGATTGATTTAAAGTAACACACCAGAATCATTTCTCCCCACCAGCAGAATAATGATGAGGTGCAACCAGAGTATTCTACGATGATCTGGGTGTGTGAGACTACCGAGGAACAGACAGAGTGTGTTAACCACATATTCCCAACCATCCAAACTCCTTCCTGCTTTTGTTTTTCCTAACTGCAAAGTACTATTAGTGTTACAGCAAGTTGATGCACCACAAGCTCCACTTTGTTTCCATCTGTTTCCCCATGAGATCCCACGAGGTGCTGCTCTGCTCCCTGTTCGCTCCCTCTGACACGATCATCCTAATAATATCCCGCAGAGTGTGATGAGCTGCTCTCTTCAAATCATATCTGACATTATAGCGAAGAATATTTGTGAATTTTCTTCTTCCTGTCAGTGATGCAACTCGCTTCCACGCCGGCTCCGCTCTGCAGACCCGGAGGCCACGTCCATCTTTTATATAGATCCTGTGATTGCTGTGTATTTGTGCCATTACCGCTCCTGATAGTAAGCGGCGCCGTCAGAGGTGTCCGTGTTTGTAGGAGAAAAAGAGTTCAAGTGCTTCTGGATGTGTCTACAAACAAATAATCCCTTTTCAGTTCCTAGAAATAACCTCCCAGACTGTGACACCGGGATGCAACACATTTTTATGTAACATAATCATATGCGGCTACATTACCTTTTGGACTCCTCGGCTACTCAGCACCGCATGTGTAAAGTGGCGAAGTGAAAACATGCACATACATTAACAACAACAAAAAAAAGCTGTAAATAACCTCCAGCACTATAGAATGAGTCACAAACTATATGCAAAACAGCTCCCACTTTTAGAGAGTCTGTAGGTGGGGATGCAGCTCTTGTCAGATGTTGTTTTGGAAAAAAAAGAAAGAAAAAGAGATTAGTTTGCGGTGCTCTGCTGCCTGCTCTCTGCTCACCTGTTCCTCCTGTTCCTCAGCCACCTACCCTGCTGCCTACGGCCTGGTAGGACAGCCGTTTCCCCACCAGCCCACACTGGTGGCTCAGCAGCCGCAGCAGCCGCAGCAGCTGCAGCAACGAGAAGGTAAAGCGCCGTGCACCAATGTGGAATAATCACCGCCGTATCTAAGAACAACACTGCAGCGGTTTTGTGTGTTTAGCTCACATACCGCAAATCAAACATGCTTTAGATTACAGATAAGCGGCGGCGCTTCTGGGCAGCTGCTTCCATTCATTCCTCTGTGATGTCAGGACTTCTGAGGATGTAGTTTATCAGAGTAAAGAAAAAACTTATCTGTTTAATAGTTAGTAATTATTTGATCCATTTTTTTTTTGTTTAAATGCCTGAAAAACATCCAAAACAGTTCCTCAGAGTTCAAGGTGTCTTGTCACTTTACAGAAAAAAACAAACCAAAAGACAGCAAATTCTAGCTGAAAACCAGACGAGGTTTCTGTCGATCAGCTCATAGTTTCAGCTGTTCAGAACTCTGTCATCCCACTCGTCATTATAATATAACGAGTGCAGACTTTCCAAATCATCCCGCATTACCAAGCAACGGTAAAGCAGCGCCGGCAACAACCAGGCGCTCTGATAACTGATCTTCAGTCTGCAAAATGCTGATTTAAAACCAGCAGGTGGAAAAGAAATGCATCCAAGAGCTAAACCCTAAAAAAGTTAGGACTGATTTACTCCTGTGTGGTCCTTTAAGGTCTCAGATTTGTGAAGGTTTCTTTAAAAGTTTGCACAATTTTAGAGGTTTTATGTCTAATAAATGTTGCAGATTAACAGTCTGAGCTTTTATTAATAAAGAAAATATGTTTGTTTTCTTGGTTAGATGAAGAGGTTAGCGGTAGTTTTGTGTGTCGATGTGTAGCTGGAGCTTGTAGCTAAGCAACAAGAAAACTACAATGAGTCCTTTAAAGCTCTCCAAATGTCTGCTTTTGTGTCCTGTTCTGCTGTTTTTTTTATATACCTGACTTGTCGTGTAGAACATCATTGCGTATCCTCCTAAATAGAACTTGTTGTTGCACTTTGTGTTCCCTAACCGACCCGTCACGTCTCGCTGTGTTGTTCCCGTGTGCCGTTGCAGGTCCAGAGGGCTGCAACATCTTCATCTACCACCTGCCGCAGGAGTTCACCGACTCCGAGATCCTGCAGATGTTCTTGCCCTTCGGGAACGTCATCTCCGCCAAGGTGTTTGTTGACCGCGCCACCAACCAGAGCAAATGCTTCGGTGAGTCTCGCTCCTGACCATGCGCCTCTTTTACCCCTAAACAATGCTTCTTTTGTGAAAGCTTGCGTTTTGTCGTCTCCTCCTCAGGTTTCGTGAGCTTCGACAACCCGTCCAGCGCCCAGACTGCCATCCAGGCCATGAACGGCTTCCAGATCGGCATGAAGAGACTGAAGGTGCAGCTGAAGAGGCCCAAGGACGCCAACAGGCCTTACTGAAGGAGGTGAGCTGCCGTGTGTCGAGGAGCCGGGGAGGGGATTGATAGACAGCTGGAAATGTGTGTGCAAGTTAAGGAGACAGAGTGGATGTAATTGGGGGCTCAGTGCTTAAATGGCTGTCTTTCATGTGGAACTGAAGAAGTCAATAACCCTACAGTAGATTAACTTTAATGAGGTGGAAGCACTAAAAATACCATCAGTTTGAAATACATTACAAGGATCAGAAGATACCTTTGCTGTGTAGAAGTGGTTCCTTCTCTGTTGTTGCTCAGTACGTAGGGACACCTGTATTGACGAGTAGATTCAAATGTTTCTGTCTAACCAGTGTTCTGTCGCAGGGTTGAATGCCAACTACTGTCCGTCATTAATTTTTTGTTTTTATTTTCGTTTATTGTTTTTGTGCTGTGCCATATGCCATTTTTCCTGAAAAAAACATCACACCACTCTCAAGACTGTCCCGTCCATACATATAACGTGGAGACGTGCGTCGCTATGGCTACGGTTGCCTAGCAACCGCTAAAACCTTCCCCCTTCCTTCTCACTGCGTTGTAAGTTAATTGGCCTGTGTTGGTTGCTGTGGCGATATTGCCTGTGATGGTTGCCATTAGCAATTTATTTATTTTTTTATTTTGGGCCGTTGCCTTGATTCACCATGCTCAACTGCATGGCGGGTTACTGTGGCGACCATGAACTGTGTTTGGTGCGTTGTGAGTTTCCTCTTATTATTTTGTCCTGGTTTTTTAATCCTTGCAAACACTGATCAATAATTGTCACTTTACCTCAGCATCTGTAAGCAACTGATTATCATGACATGCTGTTTCTTTTTCTTTTTTTTTAATAATAATAATAACAATAATAATAAAAAAAAACTCTCTCTAAAAGCTTCAGAGCTAAATTAGCTTCCTGTCCATCAAATATGGATCTATTAGGCTTTTTTATTTCTTCTTCTCCTTTTAGGCTTTTTTGGTTTTTTGATTAGTTTCCTTTTTGTTGTCTGTCATGATTATCATTCTTACACATTCCCTCTGTTTAGTTGGTTGGTGTGGTAGTTCTCGGTGAGTGCGGGGTTTTTTTTTGTTTGGTTGTATCTCAATTCCAAGTGACTTTGTGCCTGAACTTTGTTTGGTTTTCGTGAGACTGATAATGTACTGCCCCTGTATATGGTCGACAGCATAGTATTTGTATGTGTGTGTGTGCGTGTGTGTGTGTGTGTGTGTGTGTGAGGTGAAGACGAGGTGCGTTCATATTCGTGCGAGTGTTTTGTGTCGAGTCGATGTTGGCGTGTGTGTGTGTGTGTGTGTGTGTGTGTGTGTGTGTGTGTGTGTGTGTGTTGTACCAACTGAGACACTAACCTTATTCTGAAAGGTTTTGGGTAAAGCTGTTTGGTTCCTGTGACACGTGCTACTGGCTGAGGAACTGCATTCCTCTGTAGGAATTCTGGGACTCCAAAGACAATTAACCGTAAATACTCAAATCATGGAATTCCAAAATAACAACAACTAGAAATTCATAATGCGTCTCATGCACAGGGTATCTGCAGGTCAGGTAAAAAGAAAAAAAAAAAACAATAAATCATGCCTTAAAGTTGTGTTTCTAAGGAAGCTAAACGTGTTGCTTTTCATGTAAATCTCAATCGGAGGATGTCTCTGCTCCTGGATTTTGGAAAACTTGTTGCACCACAATAAACCAAACTCTGACTACGTTTAAGTTCATTTTAAACACCCCTTAACATACATTTTGTTCACTTCAAAAGCTCCACACGTCTTGTTCCAACTCTTGACTGAAGCTGAATAAGTGAAATGTTCATGGCTGCAATAATACATCAAATTTATTGTATCCTCATTTATTGGTGCATGATTTTAAACAGGCTTCTTCTAAATTTAAATCAGAAATTTTCCCAAACTCTAGTCTTGAATTAGATTAGATTTATTTCAAAAAGACGTTTGTAATACCTGCTTGTTAAGGGGTTTTTAATGATATTTTTGCAGGTGAGAGGATTCACATTCACTGCTCTGACACACGATTGGTCTCAATTTTAGGTAAAAAATAACAGGCATGAAAAACATCTCAGAATCGATTTCTCTGGTACCTGCAGATGCTCTGTTTGCAGCAATCTGCAGATTACAAACCAACTATCTGGCAGATGATTTGAAATATCACTTCGCTGTGAAATTACAGTTTGGTGAGTGGCGTGTTTTTTTTGTTTTGTTTTTTTTTTTGGAATATCATTAGAATAAATGTGAAATTATCTCTGAGTGTTTTCTAAAAAATAAAAAAAATTGGAGAGCTGATCCCCACCAGAATTCCTACTGTGCATGTTCTGAATTAATTTGCCTGCCAAAAAGAGATGACAAAGTCTTTTCTATTAAGAACGTGCATACACTTGCAGCAGTATGACTGTCACTATTCCAGTTGCATGGACACTAGTTGATTACTGAGACTCCCCCTGAGGCATCAGTGCAAGCAGTTGTGTATTGCAGACACTTACTTCACTTCCAAAGTGTTGAATTGATGTGTTTCATTTCTTGGATTTGGTTTAAAAACACTCTGTGCTCTCTTTTCTCTCTCTCTTTCTCCCTCTCTCTGTCTCTCTTTTCTTTTTCTTCTTCTTCTTCACCTCCAGGAAAACCTAAGAGTTCAATCAAGAAAACCACTTGGGATGTCCCAGCCTTTTTTGGTTGTTTGACCAACCGTATAGCACAGGAGCAACACTTCACACAAAGCAGTATCACGTGTATGCGCTTACAGAAACAAAAAAAAAGGAGAAAAGAAAAAAAAAAAAACAAGAAAAAAGAAAAAGAAACGACGACAGCAGCAGCAGTAATGTCAGCAACAAATACATCGAACAGAATCAGCATTCGCAATATCAGAAGTGCTCCAGAGTTCCTATCATTCCACAGCTGGATTCATTTATATTATGTACATATTCTATTGTCGGCAACAAGATATACATGTTAAGAAAAAGCATATCACTGATGTTATTCTACTGAACAGGGTTCTACTGTATAGTGTGATTTGTGGTCTATGGCGTTAACAGAGGGCCAGTCTACACAGCCGGAGGCAAAAGAAAATACTATTCTGTATGATTACCATTGGTAATATTGTTATGTAGAGTTAGTTTTATTATTTATACGTAAATTTAAAGAAAAAAAAACACGGGGTGATTAAAGTGGAAGAGGAGCGGATTTCTTCTTGCTGTGTACATACCTTGGTTCTAAAAACGGAGGACTTAACAACTTCACGAGTTCAGATTCTCTGCTGCCACTACTTTTAAAAATTAACAAAGCGGAAAGGAAGGGCTGGGAATTTTTCTATCTTGATTTTTTACGTTTAATTTATTTGGTAATCAATTTGACGGCGGTGGGAGACGTGACGATTTCTTTTTTAATTTAAGAAGAAAAAAAAAACAAAAGGAGGATTCCTTGTGGTCTTCAAGACAATGAACACACTTATTATAGAGTTTTTAATTACATAAATGTACCTATGGAAGTTGAAAAGAAAAAAAACATGTTTCTTTATTTATTCTCTACAATCGCTGTTTTAAAACATATGTCTTTAAAAGAAAATAAAGTACAATTTAGAAAAAAAAAAGGTCTCTGCTGTCATTTACTGAATCATTCTGGGTGTGTGTTGGGTTATTCTGGGAGGTTTGCTGCCCTCTACAGGCCACAACAAGAACTGACTCAAGTGGGAAACATCTGGCTTCCAGTTTGGGTTTCATTCAAAACTCTGGACCAAACTGACAACAAATAACAAGAAGCAAATGAAGAAAAATGTTCAGTTTCCATAGTGGCCGTTTGCATATTGTTTTAATTGACAACTGTTAGTCAATGGAGCACAAACACACCATGTCTACACCAGCAGTCATATTCAGCTTCTTCCGCAGGTTCCTCTCGTTATTTTCGATGCATAAATATTGATCTGCTCAGGTCTGCAGGAGACAGGAGAGGCTGAGGTGTGAACCACAGCTGGGGTATGCACTCAGTGTGTCTGCCACAGCCTTTTGGGTTTGGTCTGATGGGTCCAAACACGCCTCGGCCTTCTTTGGCATGTCTGGATGTATGAGGGCCGATTAGTGCCACGCAGGCTGCTGCAGCTGAACAAGAGAAACAACTGCAAAAGACTGGAGGTAGGAGAGAAAATCATTTATGTTTGGAAATATGAGTAAATGCATGTGAATGTGCAAGATAAGGAAAATATAAAATGTGTAACTGATATACTTGGAGGCACATTTTACTTTCAGTTTGGCTACGAGGTCCAGGTGAACAACAGGAAGGCAGAAATCATGTCATCACACTAAAGTATGCTAGCATCAACTAGTACTGTATTTATTTTCATGTCTGGGTAAGTGATCGCACAGGAAATTGTGTGCTTTAAGGTTTGCCAGAATAACCAATGTAGTATCACAGGAGGCCGACAGCAAACCTAAAAATCACTTCATACTGTTTCACTTCACCCGGTCTCATCTAACCTAAAGATACACATATAGTGTCATAGAAGTCCTAATTTAGGATGTGTAGAGAATATGTACGAGCCAGTATTAAAAACTAAAGTGAAACATCCAGCAATTTCAAAATAAAATCCCATCTTACAGTATGAAAGCGGAAATGCTACGAGTTAAGGAAAAAAAAGAAACGTGCTGGATCCTGCTGATAGAGTGTATTGTTATCTAACGTCTCTCTGAACTTCTTTGCTGCATTGTCAAGCTTTAAGGCTTCTTGAAGATTTTAACGACAGCAGAAATATCAGGAGAGAACATCAGGATTGGGATAGTTAGGACGATATGAAGCTACGCTGGACGACTCAGGATCCGCTGCTGCTCAGCTGGAATTTCTGATAAAGTGATTAACTGTGGATGCATTCAATGTGAGCGTTAAAGGCAGAAAACAGCGAAAATAAAGCTTGTGGAACCAACATGTCCTCCTCACCAACATCGATGGATGGGTCTGATCGGACACCTGACCAACGGAAAACCATGTTTATCGTAATAAAAAAAGACCTTCATGTGCTCCATCAGAGGTATTTATTGTAGTTGTTGTGATGTAGGATGAGGAGCCCGACACAGAGAGAGACACACCGGAGACTCAGAGGTTGAAATCAGGTTTACTGATATCAGGAGAAGTGACACCAACAGAGCAGCAGACCATTGATTCTAAAGATCCCTCTCACATCTTCAGTCTTATATCCTCCTTCAGCGGGAGTCACGTCCAGATTTATGGGAGAACGGAAAACAAAGATAAGTCGGCGCCTGGGTATCATCTGGCCTTGAGAGGTGCAGGCTGTCTCCCTACAATGAGGTTAGGTGAAGAATCTGTAGAAGTTACAGAGCTACAAGCACTACATTTACCTAAAGAGGTCAATCAGGGTTCAGTATCTTCTCTAAAAGATTCACTCTAAACAAGTCATCTTTCCTTCACAGTAGTGAAGTATGGATATGAGACTCATGCCTCCTTCAGACAAAAAAATCACATCCATCATACAGGTTGTTTCTCTTTCTGTCACTTCAAACTGTTCTCAGAATCATCCGTGTGGCTCTGTCTCAGGTTCTTCCTCCCTAATCTTCAGAGACCAGATAAGGCCTCCAAAGCACAACAGGGTCCAGCTCGCCTCCCAGTAAACGGCTATAGATGACACCAAGCATCTCTGGATTCATTAAGGGACAATATGAATCTAAGTTGTAAACGATGGAAGTTCCATCTCAGACATTCTTGTGTAACGTAACTTGGACTGACGTCAACACTGAGTCAATAGTGGGCGTGAGAGAGAGACACAGCGCCGGCATTCATCCATTCATATGAGGTCAAAATCAAAACAGCTCTGATACGCGTTTAATCCGACGCAGAGTTAGTCACAGACTCAGGGCTCCTGCTTGCCAAAACTTGAAGGATCTGCATCATGGATGTATTAAGAGGGATGAACGCGGAGCTGCCACTCAGCTTCAGGTACCAGTTTTTTGTTTTCTTTAGTGATGCAACAAGAAAACTGACCCAAAAAGCCATTTCCCTTGAGTCTGTAAAATGTTAACCAGACGCTGGCAACTACAAACAAGGTCACAGAAGAATCTCCTAACTAGTGACTTGTGGTGGTTTTGTACTTGTAAAACTTCCCCACATAAAAAAAACAACAACATAAAGTCTACATCCAAGTAACTCTCATTTAAGATTCAGACCAGTTCTTTTTAATACCTTCATGATCCACACTCACACGGCTGCTGCCTGTCGTACAGGAAGCTCATGTATCTGCAACAAGTGAGCAGGAAAGGAAGTGAGGCAATTCAAGATACCGCGGTTAAACTGTGCCAAACCATATCTGCTCAACCATCTGTATTTATAGATTTGTGAACTTTTTTGATGTGTCAAATACTTTCCAAGACAAACGTTTTTAAAAAAAAAAAATCCCATCATCCCATTTTCAGCACTTTTTTATTTATTTATTTTTGCACATTAAAATTTGAGGCTACATGTGGACGACCATAGCTCAGGACTTATTAAAGATAAAAGCCTGACATTTTCACTTTTTATTTTTCATCGTACCATTAATTCAGAATCTGCAATATTGGACAGATAATCTATGATTTATATGAGGTGTGTCAGAAAGGTGCCAGGACTGGTGTCACAAAAGACATATTTCAAACTACAAACCACCAGTTTCCCCTTCAGATGATCAACCAGCACGTCTACAAAGAGATCCTGCAGCGTTTGCTTCGTTCAGAAGAGGCAGATTTGTGTCAGCACCAGTGATGGCTGCTTCACCATGACAACCTGCTCACAACATCCTGAGCATCCCACAGTTCCTGGCTGAGAAGAACATCTCCGTGCTGGAGCAACCTCCCTACTCACCCCACCTGGCTCCATGGGGTTGGTTCCTCTTCCCCCTCAAGGGGGTCATCAAGGGGACCCGTTTTGAAGACGACATCAAGATGGCTGTGACGACGGAGCTGAGAGGATCCTGGAAGAATCCTTCCAGGAGTGCATGGCGGTGTGAAGAGAAGGCTGGGGAAGGATGTTAGACTCCAGGAGGATTACTGGGAAGGGAAAACTGGTGGTTTGGATTTTAAATATATCTTTTGTGACTCCAGTCCTGAAACTTGTCTGATACACCTCGTAATGCAGGAGGATGAAGCCTGCCAATCGTTTATTATGACACTGATGAGTCGGACAGCCATCAAACATCCAAAATTGCCCCTGTGGTCATTTATCATTAGTACGGAAGCCTGGAAAGGACATGGAGAAAGAAAAAAAACAGGGAGACAGGAAGAAAAATAGAGGTAACTCTCTCTGGATCTCGCAAAACGTTCTCATCTCGCAAAAGTCACATCAATCTTGTTGGATGTTTGTGAACACTGGGCCTCTTGCTAAGCACTGCTTGAATGTCTTTATAGTTTTTATTTCAAAATAAAACTCAATAAAACTCTCAAACGGGTGGGTGTCCTCCATTGTCATTTCTCCATACTGCCAAAAAAGACCCAGAAGCATATGTACCTGTAGTTTTCCTCTTCTTCTATTGATTTGGTGGTTGGTCCAGGTGCATTATCGCCACCTTCTGGACTGGAGTTACCGATAGTTTTGCGAGATCCCGAGAAAGTTTTGCAAGATCTTGCAAAAGATACCTCTGTTTTTTTTCCCCCTCTTCCTGTTTTTTTTTTTTTCTTTTTGTCCCTTCCGGGGCTCCATACATTAGAGATATCAAAGGTTGAAATATCAATATGGGAGAACATTGCTAACTTTTCCAGCTTTTTCTTTTCACTTATGAAAGCCACAGAGGAGACATGCTGAGTTCCATCCACAGTTCAGGAGGACAATGCACATTTTGTTTCTTGCATGCATGTTTTCTTTAACTTTCTCAAAGCCTTTTAAAGCTCATTCAAAGAGCTTTCAAACAGTGCTGCGTCCTATTTAATCCACTGAGGAACTTCTCCTCTGTGTGGCACTAAGCGCCTGTCATACTCACAGAGGCTCACGTCACTTTAAATAGCCCCCCCTCCCTCCCCCTTCATCGTCTTTTAACTCACTACCATGATATCCACTATATCCGACCAACTCCACTGTCCGGCTGAACGCGGACAGCAAACACTTTGATCGGACGGAAAAGTGGAGAAAAAAAAAGTGCGCGTATTTTTTCTGCTCTTCGGATCGAACCGCGACCTCCAGGACAGAGTTTAGGAGGAGAAAATAAAGCGCGACATAGTTTTTTTCTTTCTTTCTTTTCCTCCTTTGAGAATGTGGCGAACCTGAGGTTGGAGGAAAAAGAAAGAAGGCGGATCGCAGCTCATTGAACGATCAGAGGGAGAGAGAGAGAAAAAAAGAAGTTGTTTCATGGCGAGAACTACATGAGGACGTGCAGCGGGACCAGAGGACGACGCAGCAGAGCAGCCGCAGATTCACACACTTCATTACCTGCCTGTTAGTGAAGACGACAAGAGGTAAGAGCAGCGCACCGTTACACGACACACGAAGCATCAGAGGTCGTAAAAGACTCGTTCAGACGCTCAGATTGGCGATTTCTCCTCCTGCGCACGAACCCCGCGCCGCTATATTTAGACAGAAACGGGAGAGTCTCGGTCCCGGGAGGTTTTATGTGAAGTTTAAACTTCTCCACGAGAAGCCTCCCGTGTCTGGTTAAAGAGCCTCCAGCACATCAAAGTTTGTCAGCGAGCTAACAGGCCCCCGTTTTTCTGCCGCTCGTCCTCGTGTCGGTGATGTTTGTTCAGGAACACCGCGATAAAGGAAGGTGAAAGCCGAGCCGCCTGCGCATTAACAGCCCCTCTCATGAAACGCACGGCTTGTTTGTAGAAGATAAACGGCCATTTATGTCGCCGAGGGTGCGATTTTGTGTATGTGTGTGTGTGTGCGCCAAAAAGTTTTCCTGCGTAAACTGGAGATGTCGCGGCGCAGAAACTTGGCACCGTTCTGTGTTTGTTTTACGCACGACGGCCGGACTAAGTGGGGCAAATGCCTTTTCTCTGGCGGCTTTTGTACACGGAACACGGTGAGAGTTTCTCGGGAGTTTGGAAACTTATTGAGAGCTCCATCTCACGGCTCTGTTCCGCTATGTCCGGGAGACTCCCCGCTTGCGCCACGCGTGCGCACGGAGCCACTCCCTGCACGAGTTTACGCAAACGGCGTAGACTGAGTCACACGCCAGCTTCAAATGAAAGTTTGACTTGTACACCCGTCTCCTGCTTTGATTAACACCGAAAACCCCTTTAACTGTCTGATGGGGTTCCGTTCGTTTATATTTGACATCATTTAAGTCCTTTTTTTAAGTCTGAAATACATCAACTGCGCATATTTGCCCTGAAGGGATTCACAATCTGGACAGCACATGACAGCCCCTGCCGCTTGGTGTTAGTTAACGCCAATAAAAATTCCTTTAAAACGTTTTAAATTTTACTAACTTGCTGCACATGGAGGGAAACTAATCCTGATTACCTCAGTGGGGTTATCTTGGGTAAGATCTGTCATCTGTTCCAGCTGCATGTTCCGGGAAGCCCCCTGACCTCCCCACACCTCTCCCTTCAACTTCCTGGATGCCCTGTGAAACCTGCACACACATTTCAAACGAAAAAAAGCATAGTAGGGTTGATGAGAGGCAGCAAAATGTATTCAATTTTAATACTTTATCTGAAAAAATCAGCAGAATGTGATGTTCATCTGTGTCACCAAAACAAACGAGACGTCCTGTGTGCGTGATGCAAAGGAACTTCTTTTTATGATCGGTGACTATTTGATCTGCTTGTCCAATATCACAGATTCTGAATCACTGTCATGATGAAAAATAACTGAAATATTCAGGCTTTTATCTTTAATAGTTTCTGAGATATTATCACCCAAACAGAGGTTGACATTTGTGTGTGAAGGCTGGTCAACAGGCACTTTTTTTTTTTCTTTTATATCTCAGAAAGTTCTCGAAATATCAACCTCAAACTTCTCAGATACCTTTTAAAGTTTCCACAGTTTATGTTTGAAAAGTTTCAAGCAAAGATCAGAGATGCTCGAGCGGCGGATGATTTGACGCTGACACAAACCAGTGCTTTAGTCCCCAAGTCGATGCAAACATTCAGAAAACACCATTAGTTCTTCTCTACAGCCTTCTTTCCAAGTACAGGTGCAGCAGCAAAAAACTCTGTGTTGTTTACACACGATTTAAGTTGTAGACGACCAAAAGCCAGAATGCAAACAGTGTCCCAGTGCATTTTTAACACAGAGGAGGCAACACCTTGGATTAATATTAACATGTTGTCAACATGTTCATGTCCTACGTTGTTAACTTTACTTTTTGCAGATCTGCTGTCGCAACACTGGATGTTGTGTGTGTGTGCAGATTTTTTCTTAAAATATACGTTTATACTGATAATATCTTTTAATATCAAATTTGGAATCGAGAACAGTGGAGCTTCAGTGTTATTTGTACCCACTATCCCTGTTCACACCCAATTCAGCCTCTTTTTTAAAAAATTGGTGGCATTTTTTTAACCCCATCCAACACTCTGCTTCTCTCTCTAGAGCAGGGATCTCCAACTCCGGTCCTCGTGAGCTACTGTCCTGCAGGTTTTAGATGCAACACACCTGACTCACATTAATGGATCTCCAGCAGCTTGTTGTCAAGTTCTACACAAGTCTGTTAGTGATCCATTCATTTGAGTCAGATGTGTTGCAGTACGGAGACGTCTAAAACCTGCCAGACAGTAGCTCACGAGGACCGGAGTTGGAGATCGGCTGAAGGTATCCCTGTTTTTAGACAATATCTCATTTTCTGCTCAAGTCTTTCTACGTCCGCCTTCCTGTGCATCTGTTTGGAATGACAGTAAACCCGTTTCATTTCCAGTACGGTTAGAGAGCAGATCTAAAGGAGTAGCTGTGAGCGACCAGCTCTAGCACACATGCAGCTTCAAAAAGAGCTCCACCGGCTACAGCTGCTACTCATTGTGAAACAAACCTGGCCTCGGCGTCGTCGCTGTATTAAAGGGTTTTTCCTGCACAGAGGAATGTTGCTGGCTAAAAGAGGCTTTAACCAGGACCAAAGGAAAAACAGCAACACCAAAACTGTAAGACCTAAGAATGAGGAAAAAACAGGAGAATGCATCGATTTCTGTCAAAGAAAAGACCTTGCACTCGTTGCCTGTGTGCAGACCGACTGTGCTTGTGTGTGGTCAACCCCCCCAAAGGCTCGTTCTGGTCCGGGAGAAACCCTGTTACCACATTCAACGGGCCAAAAAGTCTGTTGTGTACTCAGGAAACAAAACACGTGCAGCAGGAAATCAGCCACTGTGCATATATAGCAGTACGTAACTGTTGGATGAGTGTATGTAAATGAGTGCTGATCAGGACACGCCCTCGGCTGCTTTGTCTATTCAAACCTGCCATTAGCCTCGGCTGGAGACCTGCAGCGTTTAAAGGTGCCCCGGGGGGAGGTTTCTTGTAAACATGCAACAGTTGACTCTACTCCCCGCATCAAGTCGTGTGCATCCTTGCGGCTGTAGACCAGTGGAATAGTGTTGAATTATTGGAAGGAATGTGTGTTACATCATCCTAAAAGAAAAGCTGCTCCATAGCGCTACAAGTAGTCACATGGTGCGTTTTAATAGGAAGCCTGTCCTATTAACTGGAGGCGTGGAGATTATACGGGAAGTTTTTTGGTGTTTGTCGCAAACAAACGACTAAAAGTCGAGACATGTTGGCCTCTGCTGCTCAGATTAAGACCTTTTATTAATAGTTTGACTAAAGTCTGCCTTTTCTGGATGTTTTATGAGCTGAAAACCGTAACGACTTTGAAACACAAGGCCGGGATGACGCTCACACAGAGGTTAGAGGTCACACCTTCATCCCATTGACTACTGTAACAGCATCCTGTTTGGTGCCACCACCAACCTCCTCAACAGGCTACAGTACATCCAGAACTCTGCCGCCCACCTCCTCACCCACACTGAGACCACATCACCCCTGTCCTTCAAAACCTTCACTGGCTTCCCATCCCGCATTAAATTCAAAATCCTCCGACTCACCCATAAAGCGCTCCATAACCAGGCCCCCTCGTAGCTCATGCTCCACATCTGCCCTCCGCTCCGCTAATGCCAACCTCCTAATCATTCCTGGGACCAAGCACCAAACCTGTGGGATCAGGCCTTCTCTGTCGCTGCCCTCTGCAACGCTCTCCCACAACACATCCACAGACCCAGTAATATTCAAATCCAAACTAAAAACTCACCTGTTTCGCTGTTTTTCTCACTTAAACCCTCATATTGATATCTTGTGTTGTTTTTATCTGCTCGCTTGTATTTTTGCCTAGTCTGCTTTTGTATTAGCTGCGTCTTTGAGGTTTTGAAAAGCGCTATACAAACAAAATGCATTATTATTACTATAGAGGTCAGCTGATGCTTTATTTCAGGGCTGACAGACTGATTATCAGTGATGAAGGACACCAATGACCAATACCAGGAGCAGATGTTGCAGCTGGTTTTCCCATGTTTGTGTTGTTGCCGACTGACTTTCATCACTTTATTTATCTTTATGAAATGAAATGAAATGAAATGAAAAATGAAAAATACTTTATTCATTTCATTATGTTACTGCTTTGCACTAAAACACCAGGTCAGATTCCTTGGCGATAAAATCCTCTGATTCCGATATTCATTTGCAAAAAAAAAAACAAAACATTTTTGCATCAAACTTTGGAGAAACACAAACTTCATCTTAGAAATTAGTTGCAGTGCCTCTGCTTATGGGTGTTTTACATGTGTTTTCAGTTTTGATCGACTTGTACTTTGTGTGAGAATAAAGAGCGGCGACTAGAGACAGAGAGAGGCGACCGACTCAGAGCCAAAGTAGTGCAGTTTTAAAATATATGTATTTATTCTTTTAAGCAGAAATTGAGGGGAAAAAAACAAAAATGCTGCTAATCAGTCGACCGCTACAAGAGATGCTAAGAAGCAGAAGCAGCAAACGATGTGAGGACAGTTATACACTGAGACAGATGTAAAAGTAAGCATCCAAAACTCATATTCTCAACCTCTAAGCTTCTAGGGTGGTATATTATGCTTTCGTCTGTCCAAAAATGTAAGAAAACTAAAGTCAGTGAAGGTCAGAGTGGATGTCAGGCAGCATCAGACGAGAGGACGATGCCATTAACCAGTTGATGCAGACATTACAGTTTGACCCAGTGGATGAGTGTGCGTGGAGCCCAGGATGTGCCGTCGTCTGTCCAGTTTTAAATGAAACATTCACTGTGTTTGCTCGTTGCACTTCGTACAGCCAACAAAGCTTGGCCAACAAAATTAAATGCAAGTTTACTTTAGCTTGTAGCTGCTGGTGCCAGACCTGCTCTTCTGCCAATGATTGATCTGCTCCAGTCAGGAGATCCACGAGGAAATCATCCAGCAGCAGGAGCAGATCCTGCACCGTTAAACTCCTTCTGCCACAGAGAGGCTGCTGCCTTCACTTACCTGTCAGACACAAACCTCATGGGGGAGTTTTTATTGCAGATTATCTGTGCATGCTGTGCTTCCCCTCACTTGTACTGTTGCCAGTTTGGGGAGCGAGGGTTTGATCTGCTGTCCTGTGCAGTCAGAGTGAGCTGTTTTTTTTTTTTTATAGTTTCGATCAACTGCAGGCAGAAAGCGTACTTTGCATTTTAGGAGTGAGATCCACACCTGAGAGCCTGTGTAGCCCTGAGGTCGGTTTCCAGTTCCCCCCGTTAGACAAAAAATCCTCCTGCATGTTCACCCAAATCCAGTACCTCACTGCAGGACTGAATACGGACCTGCACACATTAACATATTTTAACACAATCCACAGAGAGCCCGTGCTCTGTTCTCTGCTTGAAGCATTTAAAGGACTTAACCCGATCTGCAGTCAGCTGAGTACAAGCAGCTTTTCTGAAATCCACGCAGCGATTAACAGACAGGATAGTTGATATCTGACTGCCGTTCTTTCCAGGTGAGTCGATCTGTCTCAGAAATTATTAAAAAGTAAAACAGCTGCGTGTTCATAGTCGGGTTAAAGTCCACACACGGCTGAGTTTCCCTCTTCAATCATTTGCATCAGAAGACGCTCGTGATTCGACACAACAAACACGAGCAGCAGAAACAAAGGTGCAGCGGCTTTCTAATGATCAGACTGCAGATCTGCTGAGCCGACACATAATGAAGTCAGCAGGTGACTAAAGATGAGGTGTTGCCGGTAATTACACTGATGTCATCCGACTTGATCTGACTGCGCTCACATCAGATAAGCTGCTCCTCAAGGATCTGATGTTGCTCCTTTGTTTGACATCAGGTCACTTAAACCTCAAAGTTATGTCAAATATTTTTTCTTTGCTAGACTCAGCTGTGTCGTGGTGTCTTTATAGAATATAAAAAGTAAAATGACAAAGCTGCAGCTCCTCCAGTTCTCACTAATGAAGCCAGATCTGGACTTATGGTCGGTGGCCAACATTGTCTTGGTTTCTGTCTGACCAGCTGACTGATCAGAGCAGAAGAAGTGCTGCAGCCATGTACAGGATGAGAAATCTTTTATTTGTTTTATTGGCATTAAAGCTCCCATATTGTGCCCAGTTTCAGCAAATTCATGGAAGTCTCATTCTTTAACTCGTGCACGGTGAGTTAGATGTGAAATCTGTATTTTAGCGGTGCAGAGCAGAAAATGTGTTTGTGTCACTACTTCTTGTTCCATTTTCCAACAGAAACAGAAAAAAAAACTTTAAAAAAAGAACTTTTTTATTGGAAATTGGACTATATTCACATCCAGCACGTGTGAGCACAGCGAGCAGGAGAGAAGCAAACAGATCGACTGAGTTTATGTTGCACCGAAGCACGATAGGCAACAGAAAAACAGTAATAGTCCTTGATTACTGGTTTCAAATCAGTCCTACAGTTTAAAACCATCTCAGGGTAACAGCTTCCACAGAACTCTGACCTCTGACCTCAAAGCTAATGGTCACGTTAGCCACATTAGCTGCACAACATGCTAACACTGAGGATTTTTCCATTTTTTTGCTGTCAAGAATAGAAGTAATCCACTGGCCTTTTAGCTCCTCTGATGCTGGGAGTGCACTAACACTCCTGTGTTCACTCTTGCAGCCAACAACAGAACATTTAATGTGATTGGCTGAGAGCTTTTAGCTGGAAAGTAAATAAAACCGGTGAACTATGAAGCAGCTGCTCGCCCTGAAGGCCTCACCTCGCTAGCAGCAGATTTATAGGTGACACAGTTGGACGACTTTTGGTTCCTCCGGTGGTGTTATAGCAGCTCAATAAAGTTCTAACCAGCCTGTAAAGCTGGGAGGCTGTGTACCTGTGGAGGGGCTCGTGCACCTGCAGAAGTCTTCTTATCTTAACAACTTCTACTTTACACGTCTGAGTTTTATAACAAACCCAATAAAGATGGATCTGCACCATATGGAACCTTTACAGCCTGTAAACATAATCTAAGAGACGCCCCAAATACGACTATAAACCTGTTAATGTGCGTTATGTATGCGTATATTTTTTAAAGTGTTGTTGCTCTCTGATGTGTTGCTATGTTAGTATTTTGAATTGTTTTTTTAATGAGAAGTTTTCCAGAGTTTAACAGTCAGCAGGGAACGTCACGAGTCCTCTTGCTCAAGAGATTATCAGCAGTATTTATTTTGCAATTTCCTCTTCCCAGTTTAGATATATGGTACGTTATAAATCAGTGAGAAAATATTAAACTGTTTACAACGCGTGAGGTTGCAGATCTTCTCTTGGAGGATCAGTTAAGCTTCAGATAAGGCCTCTCTGTCGGCCTGTTGGAGATTCTCAACCCGGTAACTGTTGGAATTAAAAAAAAAAAAAAAAAACATGTTTGACGTTTCCCAGGTGCAGAAGTGTTTTTTGTTTTTTTTTTTAATAGAAGGGAAACTGTCAAACTGACTTCAGCTTAATGTCCCAGATGACTTCTCTGGGTTTTTCTGCTTCTTCGCTTTGCGTGCAGCAATAAACGAGATCCTCTGTTCAGTACTCCCCTTCATCTGGAGCAGGAAACGCCCGGCAGACACGATGCCTGTTGCAGATGCTCAGTGAGATTAATAACTTCCAATCAATACTTATTCCTCTCGGCCCGTCTCTGTTTCCTCTCCTTCCTCTCAGGATATTGTCACGGCTGAGTTGGCTGCTGTGTTTATCTAATGGAAAATCTGAATAGAGACTGCCAAGCAGATAAAATCTTCTTTTTAATACCTGTCTTAATTTCCTTCCCCAAGACACAAAACCTGTCCGTCTCTGCTTTGTCTGTAGGATGTTGTCTCAGCTGAGAGAGCAGATATGGGCCGACTGGATTTGGTTTCCCGAAGGCCACGGCTGGGCCGACTTGACGGATCATGATGGCAAAGTCTTCCCTAAAACGCAGGACCTCTGGGCGACCATCCCCATCGCCCTCTGCTTCCTCGTCATCAGACAAATATTCGAGCGGTGAGTGATCTCATGTCGCAGCATCATTTGCCTGCTAATCGGCCCTTTTGCTTGCCTGATTTGCATGTTCCTCTCTGACAAATATGAAACGATGCGTCCTCTTTCCAGGACGGTGGCGATCCCGCTGGCCTCTCTGATGAAAGTGAGCGACAAGCAGCGTGTTCGTGCTTCTCCTAATCCCATCCTGGAGTCCCACTTCTGCAGCACATCAAAGCATCCCACACAGGTACTCGTCCTCGCGTGCACCGCCGCCTCATCGGCGTTAAAGTCGTCTTGCGTGTCCTTTGACACGGGCACACCTTGAGCTCTACAGAGTCCAGAGATGCTGGTGTTTGATGTGAAGATGGAAAACACATTTTCACACCTGGATTTAATGTGGACAGCCAACTAACATCATTTCATGGCTTCAGAACAACTGGCAACCTCCAAGGCTGCAACATGGAAGTGCCAAAGACTGTCTTTTTATTTTTTTTTTTTTGAGGCCGTCTTCAAAAGAAGGTCAATCCAAAAGACCCCCATGTTAACCCTCTGATCCCCAAAACCAATCAGCGGCTTGGAAAGTCCTGTTATTGTTGATAAAATGCCAGCATAACAGAAACTTTTAAAACAGGAAAACATCAGAATTTCTTAACTTTCAGTGGTCCTTGAAGGTATCATGTGTGACTTTTGGCTTAGTAATATTATTAAAAACTCCACATAGACACTCTGTGTAACACAAATCTCGCCATGAGCATCTTTAGGGTGTTGTACATGATATTTACTCCAAATTAAAAAGTATAAAAGCATCAGAAATGTACTATCTCCTCACTCTTTCTGCAGCTTGATTTGGCTTTTGTTGTTTTTTTTTTTCAAAATAAAAGTATTGTATGCTGGAAAAACTCCACCTGCTGCTTGATTTTCTGCCACAAAATGAGCCAAATCTAAGATTGAAATTGGTATTTTTTCATCAAAATCACTTTTTTCTCATTTAAATGTTCACCAAATATAACCTCTTTCCTCGGAAAAGATTTAGTAAAAATCAAAAAATTCTGCGCTTCCCGGCTCAGTATAGAAGTCATCGGTGACTCAGCTGTGTCCAACAGTCTCATAACAAAACTTCAGGGACTTTTTGGCTAAACTGGGCTGAACCGCCGGTGCCTACGACGAGCAGATGGGAAACGTGTAGAAACAATTTTAAAAAATGCGAGTGGTGACATGTCTGTAGTGAGCAGAGCCAACTTTTTCCCTCAGAGTTTGTAACACCTGAGGGCACCTGGAAAAATGTTGTGCGAGTGGATTCCAGGCTATTTTTGAATTTTCGTGAAACAAACCAATACGTCTTTTTGAATGATTAATCGTATTGTAACTCTGCTTTACTGCACAAAAGACATTTCTGAGTTTCCTCTGTTACTTTCCCTCCTTCTGTCTGCTGAGCTGCAGGACTTTAAATACAGTCTGTGCTCCAGGCAGTAAGCACAGCGCTGACTCTCCTCTTCTTTTTGTCGTCAGAGCTCCATAGAGACTTTAAGTAAACAGACGGGCTGTTCGGTGCGACAGGTCCAGAGGTGGTTCAGGCGGCGGAGAAACCAGGACCGGCCCAGCAAGGTCAAAAAATTTCGGGAAGCAAGGTAGGTTCACATCTTTAGTCAGACCTCGAACGCATCCTTCCACCTCCTTATTGAGTTATCAGGACTAAACTAAACTGAAGCAGTGACGTCAGTGTTCTGATGGTGTTCTTTAAAGGTGTGTGTCCGTAGAGCGGTTCAGTTTGGCAGAAAAATGCCGCCAGGTGCCTCGGCTCCCTTGTTTCCATGACAACCGCATCTTGACAACGCATCACCTCACTTAATCACTGTTGTGTGACATTGCTGCGATAGTTTCTGTCTGACATTTCTCGTGTCGCTCGAGATAGACGGACACTCCTCCGCTTTCTCGGTTACCACGGTGACGAGTTCCTCCCTTATGATTGGTTACCTTAAAGGGAGTAATGATAATGACGACGCCAGATTCAAAAACCTTAGAATTTTTGACCAGTTGCACAAACAAGGTGGAGCGCTCTGAAAAAGACACTCCTCGTTGGTAGCAGTTATTTTAAAAAATGCTGCTAGGGGGCGCCGCTTTTGCTCACCTGGTCATGTCCCATGTACAGGGGCTATAGTCCCCGATGTGGAGGTCATGAGTTCGAATCCCGCTCATGGCTCTTTACTGCAGGTCCTTCCCCCTTTCTTCTCCCCACGTTCCTGTCTCTCTCTCTACTGCACTATCGAATAAAGGCCAAAAAAATAAATAAAAATAAACAAAAATGCTGGTAGATTCAGAGGTCCTGATGTGCTTTTGCAGTTCTTTAAGCACCTGCAAGGTAGATTTCAGAGGTCACGGCATTACAGACTCAATAATTCTACTTCCTTGCACCGGCGAAAATGACTGAAATGAATTGATCCAGGAAGAGAAAATGTGTCCTTGGCTTGCATTCAGACGAGCCTGGGAACGGCATTGAAAAGGCCTCGCTGTGTTTTATTAGGTCACGAGCTGAAAATGGTAAAAAAGCGGCGCTTTACAACACTGACCTTGAAATCTGTTACCATGTTCTTCTTCTGGAAACACCTGAGTCGTCGTGGGTGCGAAAGCAGCAACTTTCTTAGTAAAACAGTAACAGTGGTTTATTGAGTGTGTTCTTGTAAAGCTCCGGCGGTGCGAGCTGCTCCTGATTTTTCTGCGTTTAACTGCTCCGTGGTGCACCGACGACGGTTTCTTCATCAGTGTCGCGGCTTTCAGACGCACCCACATATAACGGGAGCAGAGATTTCTCAAAAGCTGTTGCAAAACAACCCACAGTGATGATGCGAGGACGGTTACTGAAGCAGACAAACGATGACAGCCAAACGTGGAACACGCTGAACGTAACCCTGGTGTTTCCCAGCAGCTGTTAGAGGAAGTTTGCTGCCCCGCGTGATTCACTGTTTGTTTTGGATGTGATATTTGATTTATGTTATTTATTTTTTTAAATAGTTCATTTATCATTTCTTTTTGATTCACTTGTTTTCAAAGTTAAATGTATGCCTGAATCTCTAAAACCAGGTTGATTACTTCGGAGCTCCTCAGCGGTAACATGAGCACACTTGGAGCGCGTCCTGCTCCGGTCTTTTGTTTGATTTTTCTTTCTTCACGTCCTGCAAACCTGCGTGCTTTGTACCTTTGTTTGAATATTGTTTGTGCACAGGTGGGAAGGTTTGCCGGTTTTGTTCTCTGTGAAGTGATGCTTTGCTCGAGCGGTGTTTCTGAGATCTTTGTGCGTTCTCTTACAGTTGGAGATTTACCTTTTACCTTCTTGCTTTCTTTGCTGGCCTGGCAGTCCTCGCTGATGTGAGTAGTCCATCTGGTTCTTACAGGAAGCAAACAGTGTATTCCAAAACACGAGACACATTTTTGTTGTAACTAGAGAAACATTTCTTCTTTAAAGGTGGAAATCCCTTCTCATTTCTCAAACCCTCCACAACTTCATAGGCTGTTAACAATTTGACTGAGCTCCAACTAGATCTAATAGTTACCTAATACTTGGTATAACCCTTCCCCCTCACTGCCCTATAATCAGTTATGTCATTTCAGACTGACTGGATAATATATTGACCGCTACAGCGCTCCTTTCAGAGAGTCTCTGTGTGCTGATGAATATTTTTACCAGGGGAGAGGACGTGAATGTGATTCACGATGGTTGCAGAGTCGTATTCAAAACACTTCCAAATGAAACACGAGTATTTCCTCCTTTTTTATGTCGCAACAGGCAACGGATAATATGAAAAGCTGACTATATGTGCTGCAAGTGCTCTCAAATATAAACTAACTCCACCCGTTACAACGTGGATAACTTTAGCCAAGATCTATACAATAAGCTAAAGCATTTAGCGTCAAATTATCAAACTAAAAGCTTCCTAAACAGAACACTATCAAGCAGACAAATCGGCAGAAAAAGCTTCCATCGTCTGTGACGTCTGCGCAGACAACCGGCGCCATCGTAACGAATGAATCACAAATACAGATAGCAGCAAACACGCCACCGGAGATGAAGCTACATAATTAACTAACTCGCATAAACATTAACTACATTCACTAAACGTCCACACAGTCCCTGATTAAATGAATTTCTACCACTCAGCTGTGAGTAAAGTAAACCAAACCTCCTGCTGTCGGCAGTCCGCTCTTAGGCCACTTTTACACGTAGCAGGTATGTACAGAAACGGATCTACGTTTTCAAAAAATAACATCGTTCGCACCAGATCGTTTAAAAAAAAAAGTCTTCCTTTACACAAACCCACATAAACATGTTGTTACGAGCTGCTATGAGCTGCCACACCTATAGGGGGCAGTGTGACGAGAAGCATAAAGCCATGCTAGCCAATCAGAATCCTGGAAAAAACACGAAAACTTCCTGTTACTTCAACGATAAGGGTGCGAGGGTCGTTTGTTTGGACCGACAGAGAAGTGGAGCTGCTCCTAAATGTGCTGTTAGAGACACAACAAGGAAAATACTTGAAAACATCGACTATAAACATGACAGTCCAAGAATATGGACGTAGCCAAACTGTAAACATGGTGGCACACATGTGACGTCAAACTCTGTCTCCTCCCGTCTACATACAAACGTAAAGACAGAGTTTTTCCAAATCTCCACTTTGGCCGGAGTTTTCAGATGTGATCATTTTTGGTGACTCGTAGCTTCGTTACGTGTAAACCAAAGACCCATTGAAGTCTCACCGGTTTTGCTACGTGTACACGGGGCCTTAGAGAGAGATTTCTTCCTGAAGGGACAGCAACAGCTCAACTACGTTTAAAGCTACAGACACTAAAACATCCCTAAAACCAGGTGTTATACAATCATGGTGGCATAAGTCGACTTTGCACTGCATTCTGGGAACATGTGAGACCTTCATTCATTTACTGAAACAATATGGAACCTTTAACAAATTATTATCAGTAGCACAGAAATCAGATTTCCAACCTGTAGCCGTAGCCGACACACTGTTTGATGTGACACAAGCTCATCGTTTGCACATGATTTTGCGTCGGACACTTAAAAACCATCTCTTTCCTCTCAGAAACCATGGTTCTACGACATGAAGCTGATGTGGGAGGACTTCCCGAAAATGGTAAATCACTTCAAACTCTTTAATGTACATGCAAACATCCCAAAGTGCAGAAAGTGGCTTCTCCTTCCTTTTCAGATTGATTTATGTGTTTACCAAAGCGCTGATATGAATAATTGATAAACTGATCAACTCTCCCTGTCTCTCCTCTCCAGCCACTGGTGCCTTCACAGTACTGGTACTACGTGATCGAACTGGGCTTCTACGTCTCGCTGCTGTTCAGCGTAGCGTCGGATGTCAAACGTAAGGTAAGCGATGCCGCGTCGGCTGAAAACTCCGTCGGCTTTCCGTGCTGTCAAACCCCCTCAGCAGCCCTCCATCAAGAGAGATCGCTCGCTGAGTGAATGAAATAACGAGCTGAGCGGCTGGTAGTGTATTTTGAGGCTTGAATATTGATTAGCCCATTAAGTCCTGACTTTATGTATTGTACTGAGTGGAGCTATCGGCGCTGAGGAGGCCATTAAAGATAATGTTGAGGCCCACTCATCTCTTTCACCTCCGTTTGGTAAAGTCACAGTGGGCGAGCAACAAGATGAAGTGCTTCTCGAGATGCTCTGTTGGAAATCCCTCTGTGGACAGACAGCTGCATCCACAGGTCTGAATGTTGTGGTAGAACTCCTAACCTGTCAGAACATTATGAGGCTTCTGTGCTTATTTTATTACGCCACTTCACAAGGAAGTAATCTTCCAAACCGAAACAACAGATTTCTGCTTTTCTCTGTCGAAATCAGCCTCGAATTTAAGGATTTGTTTCACAACCTCGTTTTTGTATCCTTTTCTGTGTGGATTTAGCCTCTTTTTATAGCCATAAATCAGAGTAATCTGCTGTGTGCACAGAGTTAATCATTTGTAAAACTGGCACCGAGCTTGTGGCACGCCGTCGACCGGTGACCAATCTTTACAGCTTGATCAATAAGTGACCAAACTCCGGTGGGTTTTGCATCGTTTCTTTCCGTCTCCGCAGGATTTCAAAGAGCAGATAGTTCACCATGTGGCCACCATCGCCCTCATCAGTTTCTCCTGGCTGGTCAACTACATCCGGGCAGGGACTTTGATCATGTTGGTGCACGATGCCTCCGACTATCTAATGGAGGTACGACAACGTGCTAAAAAAAGGAGGAATTTCGCAGAAAAAAATGTGTAAAATGCATTTTTGTTTTATATAGTAATTAAATCTAAAGGTTTGGAGGAAAGGGAAACTTTTCTTCTTCGTACAGCTACAACAATAAATGCATGTTTTAAGGAATTTAAATACAGTCACACAGCATTAGTCATTAAAGCTCCCTGCTGAGTAGCTTAAGAGCACTGAACTCCTCACACAGCTCACTGTCTGCCCTCTAGAGGAGAATCAAAGGAAAAGCTAACACTCTCCTGTCTCTCCTTTTTTTTTTTTTTAAATTCCAGTCAGCCAAAATGTTCAACTACGCAGGTTGGAGAAAAACCTGCAACTTCATCTTCACGCTGTTCGCTGTGGTTTTCATCATCACCCGCCTCGTCATCCTCCCCTTCTGGTAACAAAAAAAATGATGTTGCATCACACTCTCTGTCACTGACGTGAGTCACTGATATTCCTGTAGGAAGGTAGCGTTTGAATCGGGGCTGCAGAGCTGAAAACCTGAAGTCATGTGAAGTGAGGCTTTAATACGTGGTTGGAACAGAAAAGCTGTTGACATCCAATAACCGGATGTGTCGTCTGTGCAAGCAAAGTCTGAAATAGTGTATTCCTGTGCTGTAGAGCTGCGTTAGTTGTCCAAAAAAACTGTTAAAAACAAATAATGAGCATGACAGGTGCCTTCAGTACACTGAACAAGGCTTAATTTTAAATCAGCGACTGACAGTTGTCCCCAAGAAATGCACTTTTACTGGAAAAAACAACAAAAGGTCTCACCTGTTTAAAGATGTGACTTAGTCTTTTGAAATAAATAGAGCAGCTTCTGACCATTTTCTGCTTCTGTCACATTTTTACTCACTGCAGTCTCTGTTTTTTTACTGCAATATAAAGTCCTGCACCTACATGGAAGCAGCAAAACCATGGCTAGAAGTAGAGAAAACTCCAAAATGTTTTCCAAGTGCCTATTTATGTTACCGATTCTGGGAAAAAGCAGTAGCTCTGCATACTATAGATATCGTACTCCTTTAGTTTCTGTAAACACAGCCTGCAGTTCAGCCTAAAGAAACCCTGAATTTCTATCAGGTGATTTTTGGTCGCAGCTTAATGACTTCCTGATTGTGTTGAGGAGCACAGAATTTTAGTTTTTCACAGAATCTGATTAAAGCAAATGATATTTTTTGGTGAACTTTAAATGAGAAATTTGGGAGATTTTGGTGAAAAATCCTGATTTCAGGTTTCCTGGCCGAACAGCATGTCACAGACGAGTAGCTCAAGGATTAAAGGATGAGAAATCTGATGATTCTCTCTGATTATACTGTAGTTTTGGAGATTTTGTTCAGACAAAATGCCTTTCGAACCCACTGGGCAGGTTTTGGGGTTGAAACGAGTGATCAATCTGGAGCCAGTAACTCCAAAAGTGTTGAAAGACGGATTGTTAGTTTTAGTTTTTTCACAGGGTTTGTTGACAATAAGCAAAATATGGACTCATGTCTTTCATGTTGGAGTTGTGCCGCCACTCACTGCCTCCTTTCATCAGACAGAAGAATAAGTGGGGGTGTAACGTCTGCGACTCTTCGCATGTCGCCTCCCTCTGTGTCACAATAGCGGGCTGTTCACAACAAACAAATGCCGTCTTAGGTGGGAAGCAGCAGCGGAACACAGCGATGTACAGCAGCTACTGATGCTGCTTTAATCCTGCATTAAGCTCACGTCCTCATCGTATCAGCTCACAGGTGGTTGACGGAAACACGCGTTGATTCATATTTTATTTTGCAGAAATTTCAAACCTTTTCAGACTTTTTTTTTTTTTTTTTATTCTTGCTGGAATCACAACAACAGAGCCATTGTCTGCTCGCCTGGCCTCCGTCAATGGGCCGTTGAGGATGACTGTAGGTGGCTCTGACTGGCCTCTTTGTCCTCTTTTGTGTCCAGGATCATACATACGACGTGGGTGTACCCGCTGACTCTCTACCCCCCCTTCATCGGCTTCTACTTCTTCAACGGGCTGCTGCTGGTGCTGCAGGTTCTGCACATCTTCTGGGCGGCGCTCATCCTGCGCATGGTCATTAAGTTCCTGCCGGGCAACGTAAGAAACGTGCATCATATTTTGTGCAAACACAATCGCCTCAGATCTGTACAAAAAAAATAAAAAATCTCCTTCTGCCTCCCAGGATATCGTGGAGGACGAGCGCAGCGACAAGGAGGAGAGCGAGTCGGAGGACGAAGAAGACGAGCGCAGGGAAAAGTCTAAAAACGGCCACGTGCAAAACGGCCACGCTCTCCTCAACAACAACCACAGCAAGACGGACTGATGGGACAGTGAGAGCTGAGGCTGTATGAGGAGTGACACCTGAAAGCCAAAGAGCGCGGCGTATGGAAAGAGGCAGCAGGCAACACACAAACACACACATGTACACACTCACATCATCCCCCCTCTCCTCCCCACCGGTAGTCCAGTGTGGATGAATTCACCTCTCTGTGGATTACACTAAATTAAATAAAAGAGAAAAGGCTGCTGAAGAAAACCCACGATGATCTGCCTCAGCAGCAGAGTGGTTTTCTCTTCATTTCTTCTCCTCTTTTTTTTTTTTTTTTTTCTCTCCAGTTTGTTTTCGCTATTCGCCGAGATTTTGTGCTGTTTGTCCAAGTTGCCAAACCCTGCCTGCTTCGTAGCTTTATGTTTTATTACTGGAAGTGTTTTCAGGAGATTCTGCCGTTGGGACGGGCATTCGCTTCCCTTCCTGCAGTCAGTTAACAGTCTAAGTATTACTGCCCTCCAACTTGACTGATTATTTTTTGTTTTCTTTCGCTCTAAACATCCACAATGAAGTCGGTGACATTGTGATGAGCACTTGTGTGAATGTGGCAGTGACTTTCTGTGGACCATAACCGGAGTTTAAGCCTCTTTACTAAAAGTCCAGAGTTTTGGTAAATAATAATAAATCCGCAGCTGCCATTTTGTCACTTTGGTTCACGGTTTTTGAGACAGTGTATGAAAAATATATTTGTTCCCGTGAGGTTTAAAAAGCTGAATAATTGGTGATAGATAATATTTTTTAACAGTTTGAGAGAAGGTGCTACATCTGCCACGTGTACTGAAACGTGCCTTATGTGGAAGTTTGTCTTAAAACGCTCTGTCTCTTTGGGAAGCAGAACGCACAGAGATCCTTTTTAAATGTTTGTTTATGCTTCACATCTTTTTAGTTGTATGATTTTATTTTACTTTATGTTTTATTAGTTGTTTTTTTTTTGTTTGTTTGTTTTTTTCCAAGTCCAGTCAATGGTTTAAAATTTGGGAGCAATTTGTTTGAGTGTAACCCAAACCCATCTGTAATTGTTTATTAATTCTTTATGGGCTGGAAGAGTCGGTAGCATTTCCATTCAGTGTTGTTTATCCATCCAAAGATGCACTTTATGGGTTCTTCTATAGATCAGCATTGGCTAAAAAAAAAAAATCTAGTAAAATAACTTAGTGATTGATTCAAGTTGAAATGTGATTTCCTTTTTAGTTCAGAGAGGTTTGGAATATGATTTAAATTTTTTCTTGATATTTATTCTCATTAGTTTTGCTTTATGTTGTTAAAAAATAATAATAATTATAAAAGAAGAGCAAACCTTATGGAAAGATGTTAAAATGAAACACCAAAGTTCGGTTTACATGTTTGTGTAACCCTGTCATTTGCAAGTGCCTTCATCATTTCAATTGTTAATTGTAAAGAAAAAAAAAAAATCTGTCCCTTTGTCTGATTCTGTCGCCTTTGTGGCCCAACACGTCCGACACTCGGACGGGTCTCTGCCCGTCCTGAGTGCCTCTCGACCAATCAGCTGCAGCTCCCTCCAGAGAGCTTTGCTTCTACTGAAGTGTTTTTATTCTGCGGTATGTGTTGCTGAGATGTAAAATCATAATGACGATGATGATAAAGATATTTGTGGATAACTCATCTGTCTTTTGTTCACGGTTTCTTCATTTAATTTGAACATGAAGCAAGAGGTTGACTACAATCTAGAAGTTTAGTTTCAGGTCTTTAACATTCAAGGTTTTATCAAATGATAAAACTGATAAAGACGTGCAAAAATTATATCTAATAAAGATGATTAACTGTTAAATTGATTTGTAAGGTTCTTAAGATATTAATAATTCATTGATTTCCTTTTTTTTTTTTCATAAATGGCAGATGTTGACTAGTTCTAGATTCTCAACGGAGGATTTTTGCTTTTGTTAGTTTGATGTTTGATGTTCAGTTAATGTATTAATGCAATCATTGTTTAGGCTTTTTTTTTTTTTTTAAAAAGGCAGCAAATCTTTACCAAACTAGAGAAGATAAAACCTGTATTACAGTATGTTTGGCCATCCATCCATCCATCCATCATCTCTACACCTTAATCCTCACTAGGGTCATGGGGGGCTGGAGTCTATCCCAGCTGACTCAGGGTGAAGGCAGGTTCACCTGGACAGGTAACCAGTCTATCACAGGGCTACACTTAGAGACAGACAACCAAGCACACTCACATTCACACCTACGGACAATTTACAATCACCAATTAACCTCATGTTTGTGGACTGTGGAAGCTGGAGAACCCGGAAAGAACCCACGCTGCACGGGGAGAACATGGAGACTCCACGCAGAAAGATCCCAGGTGTCCTCACTGGGACATGAACCAGTGACCTTCTTGCTGCGAGGCAGCGATGCTAACCACTTAGCCACCTTACAGCCCCTTTGGCAAACCACTAATTTTTTTTTTTTAATCAAGATCTCAAGGCCTCATTTCTTTAGGTCAGTATGTTAACTTACTGTTGCTGCACAACAGCAACAAAAAAATAGAAAAACTTGACTGAAAATCGATTATATAGTGAGAATTGTGTCCTCTATCTTTCATAATGTTTGTAGCCCTTCTGAATTGCTCCTGTTGTAGTTTATTAAAGCACCTTTCATGTATAAATCTATCTACACTCAGCTGTTGAAATACTACAATACCAATCTGATGAAAAATAATTCTTAATTCAATTCAATTCAATTCAATTCAATTTTATTTGTATAGCGCATATTTACAACAAGTCATCTCATAGCGCTTCACAAAGGCAGAGACAGAAACCCCCAACAATCCAAAACATTTGGATTCCCTATAAGCTTCAGCAGTCCGCTTAACAGCTGTCCAGTTCCCACAGCTTGTGACTTTCATCAAAAGTAAATTAAAACTAATCTAGTCCAGTAGTAGGCTCCAGCCCCCCGCGACCCTAGTGAGGATTAAGCGCTGTATAGATAATGGATGGTTTAGTAGTTTAACTCAACGCTTACATGAAAACAAACTCCTGTTTTAAAGCTGAGTTCAGCTTCGGAGGATGTGCCCTCCTTTCTTTGGACGAAACAAAGTGATGTATCCATAATTCAGGAACCCGGTGGAAGTGGAGTAAATACAGCCTGGCAGGAGTGCCACGCATCAGTCATTGGTTCCACTGGTGTAGAGTAGACCTGAGGGCACCGTGGAGCTATTACGATATCAGATGGCACAGTGTGGTGGTGACACACTGACTGGCACATTTCTGAGATGATCTTTGGTGCCAAAAAAAGTACCTCAGAAGGCTGCAGAAAAGAAGAAGAAAGAAAAGCAAGAAAAAGTTTCAGGCATGAAGTTTGAGATGTTTCCCCTTGAAGGAACCATTTTCCTGTTTCTCCCTCCTTCCTGTCGCTCTCCCTCTAGCAGTTTGCAGCCTTAAAAGGCCTCCTTGACTAATTGCATATGGAGCAGGATCACTTTACCAGCGTGCCCTGCGCTTCATCCTCCACACTGTTCTCACCACTGGCAGCTTCACTGTAACAATCTCCATTTTAAAGCGGCAGGGTCAATTTCCACTCTGCTCTTGCATCTGGCTCTGCAGTTTAATTGCTAATGCATCTCCAGTTTCTCCCGCTCCGACCGTCTGGGCTTTCCTGCTCACGCCCCCCTTCAGAGTCCAGTCTTACTCCTCCTCTTTAAATCTTTGCCTTTCCTTTCACATTACGCTTCCCCTCCTTTCTCTGCTGCCTTCTCAGGCCCGTGAAAAGAATAAACTCAGTTGCACCTAAGGTGCCTCAGTTTTGGTGGTGTTAAGTCTGATTGGTGACAGCAAGGAAGGTCCCGCTGACAGCAGAACAAAGGCGGTGGGGTGTTTGATTCACTTGTGAACTGTGTAGACCGTTATTCAATTCCTGCTTAAGTATTAATAAAGGCTTTACATGGCAGGGGGAGGTCGCTAGGTGCAGGTGCATGCTTGTGTATCTCGCGTGCGCATGTGTCTTTGAGTGCAGGAGCTAATTTGTGGGCTGCTCATTTTTCTTGCGATGATCATGGAAGGGGAGGACAGTAAAGCCTCTGGTAACCAATGACTGTCTTATGTAACCTGAGTTGTAAGGAACTTCAGAGGGCAACAAGACAGAGATGCTGTGGCAGCTTTTCAAAGGTTTGGGCAGGTGGTGGACAGACTGCAGCAGAGAACACATGGATGACAGCGCAGGCAGGACGGTGAGTTTCAAATTCATTAATAACAACTAACAGTTACTTAGTAATGATGCTAGATTAGCCGTTAAGCATTTTCAACAACTTCTGTTTTTTTCCATAAAGTTCTGATCTTTAATTTAGTATTTTATAATCATTTGCAGCTGTTTTGAGACTCATACTCATAGTATTTTTTTTAACATAATGTCAACTTATGAACAAGCTATCCAGTGAGTTGGACATTTTCTAATATTAAAATCAGTTTGTCAGTGTTCTCTGCTGAACAAGCTCTCTACTGATGAAACTGCAGTTATGAATCGCCCAACGTATTAATGTGTGAGATATCCTTGTAGTGCTCTAATGTTAGCAGGTATATTAAGAAAGTTTTCTGATAATTTGCAAGCCAAATAATTAATTTTTCAACATAATCAGTCACGCAGATAACCACAACTCTCATTTTTAAGGAATTAACGTGGAATTAATGTCTTCTTGGGAACTTTTTTGGTTAATTTTTCCTTTATTTTGATAGAAATCAAACCACAGACACTTATATTTAACACATGTAACACTACAGACTATAATATAATATGCTATCTGTGTGTTCAGAAGCTTTGTGTGACCTCTTTTATTCTCGTCTTTCTCTCTGATTGATGTTTCTCAGCAGCACATGTGCACACAGGCCTTCCTGAAGTGACGGCGCCCAACTGACCGGGAGAAGAACCAGATACAGAAGGATCAACAGCCACCGTTGGCCACATGGACCAGGCTTCTCACCCGGCGCCGCAGTTCGAGGTGGACGTGGACCTCGGTTTTGCTCTCTTCTTCCTCTTCCTCCTGTGTTTCTTCTTGCTGGTGACGGTGGTGCGCTGCGCCCAGACGGTGGTGGATCCGTACGGCTCGATCTCCACCTCGACCTACCAGGAGGAGCAGATCACCTGAGAGAGGGAGGCGAGGGAAACCTGTAAAGACTCGGCAGGAAAATTAAGATGCTCTGCTGCACGAATAGAATCTATATTTTTAAACCAGGCAGTTTTGGATGACATGACACACAAGGATCAGGCCACTTTGAACAGAAAGCCATCATAACCACACTTTCATGGAAGTCACAAGGCAGTGAATCAGGTTGTATTGGAGTGTTTCTGGCTTCAACACACCCACAGCCGAAAGCATCAAGAGGCCCAACCCAGAACCGCTGTTTCAAGTATAAACAACAAGATCTCGACTCACTCTCAATTATATTTGCTTCTGATGATGATTGCAGCTCTTAAACATACTGAACAAAGACATAAATGCAGCATGGAATTGTAATATTAGATTGAATCTTTTTAACAGAATGGACATCATGAAATAAAATAGCCAAGTACACACTGTGTTAGAACTGATAATGTGCAGATTGAGAGTGTCGTCATAGACCAGAAAACACGAGTCCACATGCTAAGCTTTAATGTGGTTCTTGATGCTGCTTCCTGAAGGTTTCCGTGAAGCTGGTGAACATTTTCGGGGACGGGATCACAATGTCATCCAACCAGAGCATCATGTGGCAGATGATCTGTCCCACCGTGGAGTCTGAACAAATTTCTGGAACAACAACATGTGGAGTTGTGGATATTCAAGTGCCTTGTTGCGGCCACGACTGACACACCAGCGTCCAGCCCGTTCTTGTCTTTCTCTTGTGATCTGTGACATCGTTTCATTTGAAAGAAGCTGCATTTTAAAGATGGATTTTTAAAGTCAAAGGAGTGTCTTTAAAGCAACAAACGACAAAATTGTCACCAGCTGAATGGCTCCAAAACTTTTTGTGCACAACTGGCTAAACTTACCCCTTTTTTTTTTTTTTTTTACAACAACAACAACAAAAACAGAAATTTGAGTTTTAACTTCTTCTCTAAGTCAAAAATGAAGATCATTTGCATGCTGTGTTCATATTCCTGGTCGGTGTATTTGTCAGCTAATCCTAATAGAAGTCTTTCATCAAAACTTAGTTCTGCAGTGGCCACCGTAAGCCTAAATTCAGATGGTGAAGTCCCTGTCTGTCTGGTTGTTAGTTAAACCCCCAAAAAGCTCATCCCAGTGTATCCAAGGTATTTATTTAAAAGGTTTTCCCAAGAAGTAATCCCTTCCTGTCGTAAATTGGTTTAGATGTAACTCTACACCGTTGTTTCTTCTTGAATGTTCAAATCTATGAATTGCCCACGTCTGTCTTCCCCCACCTGCTGCAACCCGAGCTGCCGTCTCACCTCCTCGAACACTGTAGAACCACTCCAATTTACAAAATGGCATGTTGTAATATGGGACTGATTTAGCCATACATGTTCCGAAGTCGATGAGTCAGACGGATAATTATGAAGGCCCCACCTGAAAGCCGAGAGGATTAGTTGCTCAGGTTTGTTACGTATGAAACCCTAGAAGTTTTAATCCTTGTTTTCAAGAATGTCACTGCAGTTTTAAGGTGCAGATGCTCAGTCACAGTGCTTATTTTGCTCATGATAAGTCTTACAACACATAAAAAACAACACATGCACATGTTAACAAGGTACAACACTTTCACCAGAGGGTGGTCTTTAAGCTGAGTAGAGTTTAAGTGCCTCTTAATCTGTCATCTGGTAAAGGAGCAGCAGCTAGTAATCCTATTTTTTTGTCCTGAAACATCCACTAAACTAAAATGTTACTGTTTTAATAATTTCATAGAAACGATAACAAATGAATCGATCAATTAAAGAATGACATTGTTTATGTTGTTTTATACAGTAAACTATTTGAATGTGACGTAGCCTCTGAGTTTGTGGCATCCTTTCTTGAGTGTCCAATAACAATCCCAAAATGGAATTGGTTTAAAATCCACATTTAGACTCCATGCAAGCTGGTGGCAGTGTCTTAAAATAGAAAAAAGAAAAAGAAAAAAAAATCACTGAGGGATTATCAGTTTACACAGGAGAAATGCTTGCAATATTATCAGTGAAAGAAACCTTTTTAATTTTATTTAATTACATTTTGTAAAAATTAATTCGAACAATTTTTGAGTCATTTTGGACCTTTCTGAGGCATTTTGCACCATTTTTAGCGATTTTGGATAATTTTTTAAAAAGTTGTTTTAGACACAATTTGATATTATTTGGATTTTTTTTATTCGTTAGGAAAATTCTGGAGTCATTTTAATCTTTTGGATGCATTTTACTTCATTTTTAAGGCATTTTGGACGATTTGTGAACGTGATACATTCTGACCCATAACAGCTGGTGGCGGTGACGCAATAATTTAACAGAAGAAGAAGAAGAAGAACAAAAGAAGACGAAGAAGAAGAGGAGTTTCGGCAGCTGTATGGAATAGTGTTGACAGCTAATTTTGTGCAATGTACTAATTTAGTAAAACAAAATTGCAGTCCTTTGACATAGTTTTCATGCGGTCGTGATTCAGAATCAAACAGACTCTTTTTTTTGCGTCTGTCAAACCTTCGTGTTTTCAGCGCTAGCTAGTAGGTGGGCTAATGTTGTTAGCCTGACAGCTAGCTTCGAGTGTTAATAGCAACGACACACAAAAACATTATTATTTTTATTTTTTTTAAATATTGCTTTGTCAGACTTTTTGCCTTTTGAGGGGGACGATTCAGGACGTGAGAGCAGGTAAGCGTTGAATTTTCGGCTCTAGCGTTACTCTTTCAGCCTTGTCTGTATTAGCACCAGTAAGTTTAGACTCTCAAGTTACTCATCTGCTGGAGTAATTTAGTTTACAAATGAGGTGACGATAATTTAGTGTCCAGGAAATAAGACAAAGCTTGTATGGAAATATATACTGAACGTAATAATGTCAAAAAATGCCCTCAACTTACAGCATCCCCATCATATCTGTCTGCCTTGACATATACAGAGCTTATAAGAAGTATTCAACCACCTTGGAAATATTTCCCCTTTTCAATAGTGAGTCATGGTCAATTACATTTTACTTACTCTAAACTTGAAATACATTAGGGTATAGGAGCCTTATTTACAACGTGGCTAAGAAAGAAAATCAAAGATGTAGGTTCACAATAGTAAAAATGTTAAAATGCAAAGTTAGTAAAATAATAAAAACTTTAGAGCATTTAAAATTTCAAATCAATCAGCTTAAACGAGAACTGCTGAAAGTAAAATAAGCTAGAATGAGAAACCTAAGGATAATAATGAGTCCAGCTTTATGTTTTTCCAACAGCAGGGTCCTGCAGAGTAATCCAATCATTTAAGCGTGTCCATTAAGGGTCCGCTTTAAAAGACAGCGATAAAGTAATACACGGTGGTCATAAAACATTAAGGGCCTTTTAAATAAATAAGATCCAGTGGCTATTACACCTCACAGAGGGGACTTTAGCATACAAGGTGATGAATATTATAGTTATCAGTAATAAATGTTATTGCTGGGTAATAGAATGAGTCCAAAGGCTGACATGTGAGAAATATCACTAATCAATCAGTGAGTATCATATCTGGTAATCAGCCAGACCAAAAACTAATCGACCCCCTATTTTACATGTTTTTTTTAATGCGTGGTTTGCAGTGGTTATGGAGAGGGATGAGTCGGAGACAAGAACACTGGAGCTTCCAAAATCCAGGCAGAGGGTAAAAGACAAGAGAAAGACAGAGTCTGATGATGAAAGAGATGAAAATGGTGAGTACATTTCTTTGTCACCCGCAAAATTAAAATGCGGGGCTGCGCAGTTATTTTAATTATTGACTAATTATCAAATTGTCAAAGCCCATTGCGGTCCTTGTTTTTCAGCAATGACACAAACAAGCTAAGAATACAGGTATATATGAGATGCTTTACTCAGAAAATATCTGGCGTTTGGCTCACTCTTGGAGACAGCGGAGACTCCTCTTTTCTATCAGATACAATTGTTACTTTGACTACACGCCGTACCAACAACATCCACACATGTTGCTTACCAAATATCAAGGACGTGGACAGAACGGGGAAGAGGTATGCCTGTCTACGTCACTGGTAACTGGCCAATTTAAACTTGGTAGCGTACAAGTCTTATCTATGTTCGGAGCAGTCCCAGCCCAAGAAGATATCTGTAACCTGGAACCGAAAAAAACTCAGTTCAGCTGGACATGAGAGTGTTCTCTGTCTGTCTGAATCCAGCGCTGCAAAACTTTTCATGTGACCTGAATAAACTGTTCTCTGACTGTTTCTTGGAGCGGTTTCAACAAAAGAACTGGGTCAAACAACTTGACAATGCCAGCTCTCTCTATAGATATATTTTTTTGTTTTTGTTGCAGATCACAATTTCACTAACGCCTTTTTCTTTGCAGAAAATATGTCTGAATCTCCACAGGACAGGGCACAGTGGAAAAATGGCTTGGACTCGCTTCATCTACAGAAAAAAGCAGTGGTGGTTTTGACCAGACTCCCTGAATATAAGATCAGCGCTCTGCGGCCACCGACGCCGCCGCAGTTCTACAGTGAAGACGAATCCCTCAGCAGCTCTGACTCCGACATGCAGTGGGAAACAGAAGACGACTCGAGTGATTTAGAATGTTCAGGCCAGAATAATGCACAGAAAAATGGAAAATCAACGAAAACACAGGCATTTCCAGCGAACAGTAACAACGACAATGGTAAAGCCACACACAACATCAACACATGATCACCAGCAGCACTCACAGGTGGTAAAAGAATTTACTTTCTTTCAGTTACTGTCAGACTGCCCTCAAGACGCATGATGTGTCTGATCTCAGGTCTGGTTTATACTTGCATAGGACATTGCTTAAGGACTTTAATGTCACATTTTGTGGGTTTTTTTTTTTTTTAGCAGTGCCAGAAACCCCCTTTATGGTATCATCAGCTTTGGCCCATTGCTCTCATGAAACCACGACGACACGCCCCAACTTGCCAGAAGAAGAAGTCAAAGTGGACATGATCGTCTTGGCCAGGAAGAGACCCATGAGGTGGCAACGGGGGAAAGTGGTGGAAATGCTAACGAAGGGTAAGAAAAAAACAAACAAACCTGCCGCTAACAGAAACGCTTAAAGGAGGCTGTGTTGGCTGTAAAATAATAAAACTCTGATGTAAAGCTGTTAGGGCTGAGATGTTTAGTCAGTCAGTTTAATATCTGATTTAGAAAAATGTTATTCAGTTTATTTTTTGATAATTCTTCATTCATTTTAGTCATGTGCAAATGTGTTTGTTTGTGTGTGTGTGTTTTTCTGTCCTTGAAAATCAGAATAGTTTGGGACATTGGGGACGCCACAGTGGACTCCGTACAAATGTGTAGTTTTGCATTTTACACATTAAGTGATAATTAAGTACTCAAAATGTTTCATGTTTTTTCAATAAAGTAAGAGGTTATTTCCTCTTGAAGACTGCAGCTCTTTTCAACAAAGCAAATTTACTTAAATTAGTTAGATTTGCGGCTGCAAGGTGGCTTGGCTGTTAGCACCGTCGCCTCGCAGCTAGAAGGTTCGCATCCTGGTGAGACACCCGGGATCTTTTTGCATGGAGTCTCCATGTTCTCCCCGTGCAGCGTGGGTTCTCTCCAGGTTCTCCAGCTTTCTCCCACAGTCAGAAACATCCATCCATTATCTATACACCGCTTAATCCTCACTAGGGTGGTGGGGGGCTGGACCCTATCCCAGCCGACTTAGGGTGAAGGCAGGGAACACCCCGGACAGGTCCAGTCAGAAACATGTTGAGGTTAATTGGTGATCCTAAATTGTCTGTAGGTGTGAATGTGAGTGTGCTTGGTTGTCTGTCTCTAAGTGTAGCCCTGTGATAGACTGGTTACCTGTCCAGGTGAACCTGCCTTCACCCTGAGTCAGCTGGGATAGACTCCAGCCCCCCATGACCCTAGTGAGGATTAAGGTGTAGAGATGATGGATAGGTAGATGGATTTTGTTATATTCTAATTGCGTATTGTTGTTCTTTAACTTGTAGTTTAAGTCGCCTGTTGTTTGGTTCTCAAATCGTTGCAAAACTGTTTTGTTTGCCGATGACGAAAACATCCACCGTATTTGAATAGATTTAAGATTTCATCATTTATTCAACATTAGTGACTATTGATGCAGGAAGTTGTTTTACATTTTTATACATATATGTTGTTTTTCTACAGATATAACAGTGTATGATGAGAATCATTAAGCTTTTCACTTTGTTCAGAATTAAGTTTAAATGGCAACAGACAAATTAAATAACTGATGATGGAAGAATGTCTCCTTTTTTCTTTTTTTTTTTAAATGCAGAAAATGGGCGCTTAAAGTACAAAGTTAGTTTTCAAGAAAAGGGCTGGGGTCTAGTATCTGGACACCACATCGCCTTTAACAAAACACCGAAGCTGGAGCAGCTGTACGTCGGCGCCCGTGTGGTGGTTCGATGTCAAGAGAACAAGTTCTGGTTCCGGCCTGGCGTTTTGGTTGAGCTCCCAAGCAGACAGAACCGCTTAAGGTGGGCATTCCAATGTGTCTTCAGCACAATCATACCTCACAGTTTTCTGCACTGCTGAAGGTTTGATCACAGTTTTGTTTTCCAGGTTCTTGGTCTTTATGGATGATCACACGCCGGCCTACGTCGGCTTACCTTTACTTCATCTGGTGTGCAGACCATGTGAGTCGGCTGTTTCATACTCGGAGTGTTTGCTTTTTTTTTACAGAGAGAGCCACAGCCTTTGTTTGTTAGAGATAATTACTGAAAAGAGGAATGTCTGTGGAGATTCACATTATGCAGAATTATGCATCTGAGACGTTAGACTGCAGGTAATTCCACCTGTTGCTTATCCATTATTTATATTATATCAGATGGTGCCTTTATGGTCCGCTGTCAAGCTTTTGACCATGAGTAGACCTTTGGACGAATGAATGGAAGTTTGTTCCAACAAAAGCTTACAGTTTGTGACCTCAGGAGGAATCCAAACTGCATTTTTACACATGTTAAGCTGCACAGTCGACTAGTTTATATGCTTCCAGGCCCAACAGTAAGAGGATTAACAGACGTTTTTGTTTTTTTATTCAACAGTAGAAGATGTCTTAGACGACATTCCGGACAGCCCCCACAAGTGCTTCATGAAACAGTACCTGAAGGACTGGCCGTACCCTCCTCTGAACAAGTACAGAGCTGGTCAGAGCTGCCATGCGGAATTAAATGGAGTGCAGCAGAGGTGTGAGGTGCAGCTGGTAGACGGCAGCTTGATGCAGGTTGTTTTTCAGGTAAGTTTCATATTCACATATTTTATTGTTATGGCTTTTGAGGCATGTATGCATCACATAGAAACAAAGGCACTGAAAACATTGCCTTCCAGGAATAAGCAAATAAATAAAAGTCCCAGTTGAGACGAATGCAATGGTTTTCAAACTCTCCAGAATTTCTCCAGTTTATGAGTTAGAGTATGAGTCCGTTTTCTCACCGGTAGGAGAGCTGATATTTGTCACATCCACACATCGACTGTAGAAACGTGCATTTTGTTATGTAGAAATTTCACAACGAATTGACAGAGATGTAGCATCTGTTACTAAGGACTGTATATATTATTCTCCTGTGGCACTCAGGATAATCAGCACAAGGAGTGGATCTACCGAGGCTCCATACGACTGCAAAGCATGGCTCGGTATTTGGAATGGAAAGAGAGGGGAGAGCCCAAGGATGACTCTGACTGAATGGAGGGTCACTCAGACAGTGCAGTCGTCTGCCAACACCGGTGCCAGTGTCAGTGCGATTTTAAAGACATTCTGCGGGGCAGTTTTTGCACAATCTTGCTGACAGATAATATGTTTGACAGATGATAATGTTGATAAAATCCGTCACCCTGGAGCTACGAGCACTTGGAGTTTTTTGGGAAATATAAAGGGAACTATGTCAAGGCAAAATAAGATTCACTTTATTAAGAATGGCTCAAGCATATGTGCAACATGTTCCAGCCTTTTCTGTTTTGGTTTTGCTTTATTTCATTGTACAAATGTGATTATTGTTTTTTGAATAATAGTTGTGGGCTACAAGGTGG